AAATGTGGGTAACACCTCGAGTTCTATGTATAAATTCGGTCCGCACCCCACAAGGGACGGCTCCACCCGGCCCTTCCAGTTCGGTACTCCTTGCCCTGAGATTTTCTCTTCAATCTATCAATCACTCGCTTTCCGATCTTTCGCGTACGATACTTCCCCGTTTTCCTAACGAGTACTAGTCTTTGCACCTGTTCGGTCTTGCTTTGACAGATTTACTCGACGGCGAGGAACGGTCAATGGATCACCCCGGAGGCTAGAGGGCATAATTTCGGTTCTTTTGTTGATCAGATAGAATCATTGGTTTGATGCTCATGCCGCTTTACTCTTCAGTTCCTTCATGCTTATTCATTTGCCTGGTGTTCAAATCCCGAATCGCAGGGGGGGCTCGTTGATTCCACCTTTTCACAACCGCCGATCCGGCTGACTATCCCAAGAGGCGATAAGGCTGGTTAAACCAGCTTTATCGCCTAAAAAGGAAAAGTGGAGGTCGGTTAGGAGCTGCCTCTAAAAAAGATCGCTCAGATCCCTGCTTCCGGGCAGGATTTAGTCGGATCTGTACGAATGACTAAATAAAGGGGCTATGATATGCCGCGAGAAAGGAAACCAATCCGACTGAAGATGACAGGATTAGACTCTAAAACCGTCATTGTGCCAAGACTACTACGTGGCCGTGGCGGTGAGGGCTAGCGATTTCACAACTGATATTCCATAAAAGCAAAGATAATAGATCCTTGGAAGCCGAGGGTTGACAAATTGGTACCCACGAGTGGCTGGACTAAATTTTTAGTCTCCTTTTGCTTTGCCCCGACCCATGGATCCGCTACGGGAGCCTAATTGTCCCCACATGGGTTGTTATTCGAGTCGCGCTTGCGGTCTCATCTTCGTTGCTTAAGGCGTCCCAAATTGCCTGTTATATCCAGGGAATCACACGAATTTCAATCCTCCCATTTATGAAACTCCATGTCTGGGTCCCTCTTTCAAGCTCAAAGTACTGGGATCGGGCCGGCGGAAAGAAGCGTTCTTCAATAGCTACCAGGCGAGGACCGCTGACGGGGTAAGCGCTAAAGCTTCCTCACGACCATGTGGGGAGATGGATGCTTACCCGGGCGACGCGGGCGCTCTGGATTGTGTTGTCGCTTGATAGATCACATTTTTAATTTTTCACACACCAATTAACTAAGCATGCTGTCACACTAGAAGATTGACTTGGGATGAAACGGCGAAGCTGGGCTAGTGATAGTCTCTGCTTGATGCCCGCCCACCCCTTCATTTCCACTAATTCATGACCCACCCACATAGACTTTCAGAGCCGCATTGGAGCCCCGTAGTCGTATGGACGAGTGCGTTTAATTGCGATTTTCAAGGGAATTAAACTATCAAGTAAAGTGATATATGAGTACATATGCAAAGGCAAGCTAATGAGCGACACAATTGATGGGAATCGGTCAAAGGAACCCGACCTGACGAATGGAGGGTTGCAAGTGGGATATGGGTTCCCGAGATGACGTGGAAGCGAAGGATGATAAGTTTCCGTCGAATTTAGTCTCTTATTTGCATAACAGCACGTTCGGAGTTTTAATCGAGTAAATCATGACGAACTTGAGTATTTGGAATGAGCGGGTGGGGCCTCGACCTGGAGGCGCCGAGGAACCAAATGGACGTTATTGAATTTGGGGGTCTGCGATTTTCTCCCTTTGATTGATCAGCTTTCGGAGAGTATACTTCCGGAATTAAGGTAATATCATGGGTATAATGGTAGAGAATATAACTTGGCAGACGTATCGATCGACGACCTGACGACTAGACACGCGTAACCGATCGCTTGACCACTGACGATGAGACAAATGGACAATCAGATAATCAGACAAATGAACAGAATGGGAATAATGGGAAGGTTGTGAAGATTGGGAAGGCTGTGAAGGTTGGGAATGTTAGATAAAATGGAGTGGACGGAGTGGCTGAATGACCGACAATCTACTGACTCGCGTTTATTCACATCTAGAAAATGGTAATACCGTACTTTTCCACCAGAATGCATACGATACTCGGTACATATGGATCGTCGCTTCGTAAAAGCCCATTGAATGACAAACAGAATCGTAGATTCCTTCCATGACAGCCATGCTTTACCGTAATATTTTCTTCGAGACCTAGTGCTTCTCAATCGCCTTTGTTCCACTGGAAGCCATTGTTGAAATTCTTGTCTGGTACTGCGTATATCAGTACTCTCGGCTCCATTTTCTCGTTTTACCCCCATGCTATTCCATTTGGGAAGGATCTGCCAAAGTGGTTCACATGACACGTTCGCTCGATCCTCCTCCCGGAAAACGAATGACTCCAATTTTCCAGTAGCCGAGTCCAGACTGCCCCAAAAGTGACCCGGGTTGATAATTATCAAGATCCAGCAAAGGATTGGAGGCCACCGTTCCCTATCACAGTACTTGTGTATGAGAAAGTTTTCTAGATCGGTGCTGGGTACTTTCTGCCGCCGGAAACTAGTCGACTTCCCCGGGAGCCGATTAGATCCATCACAGCCTACAAACACGTTCTCCGTTCTCAACGGTCAGCCCCGTGGTCTCCTCCAGCGATCGTCTCGATCACCTACCGCCTAGTGTTTCAGCCCAGTCGGTAGCCGGTAATTCGACATGTTAGTGGATACGCGCAAACCGCTGTTCGTTGGTTGATTTCTCCGAACCAGAGAAGGATCTCGCCTGCAAGAAAGAAAGGCGATGAGGCAGTCGATCATTTCCAGTGAACTTCTGAGTGGTTCACATAGATTACTATGTTGCAGGTATATATTAAGATGCATCGGCTTTCTCTTTGCATTTCCCCGTTTCCACAACAGCATAACCTTGTTTGAACCTGGTAGCCTATACGCACGGGATCGACCGCTCCACCAGGTTTGAGACTCAATACTGATAATTTGCTGCGCCGGAAGCCCTTGAGATCTTCCCGGGTCTCACAAGATTGCTACAAGTGCAGCTCACAAGGTGTGGGATAGTTAGGCGCCATTGGCGACAGGCGAATTCCAGGGCCGCATAAAAAGGTCAATTCCAGGCAATTTCCGAGCATGGCTACTCGCAGGCATCATAATCATCATAATCATGATATTGTTCTAAGAATGGAAGTTTGTCAACCTTCAAAGAAAGTCATAAATCTATGCTGCCTTTCAAAACGTCGTCGCCTGCACTTCACCGCTCCTTGCGATCTTCTATTCCTTTCTACGGCTGAGTCATTATTGTATGTAATGAATATAGACAGCTGTCCTGTTTAGTCCTCGGAAGCATTAATGACCTTACTGGATCATACTCATGGCACTACAAGAAAGTCTCGTAACACTAGGACGCCAACCATAGTCTGGAAGGAGCCTGGTATTAGGGGTTAGGCCCTGGTCCCCCCAAGCCTAACAATGCGCGCGACTTACATCGGTTCCGGGCATACTACAACATAGCGTTCTAGCATAGTTGGTCTTTTTGGCCGGTTCGGCTAATAAGTCCGGGCATGTGTCATAACAACTTACGAGTAGCACATGGGGTGGGTTTGATATCGGTATATCCCCTATTCAGCCCTCATATACTTACAGTGATAGTTCACAATTTTGAATAAGAGCTAGAGAGAAGGGCATGGTTAGATACAATTCACCCTCCGCTATTTCTAAAGGTTATTATAGAGGTCTTTCCAATGATCTTCTTAGAGGGCCTTATTGGGGTCTCTTCATTCATATTTCAAAGCAAAAGTGATGAGGTTTGCTTGGCGATTCAAGCTTATAGGATTCCACTGTAAAAAATCTATACATCATGCTGTTCGCGGATCATCCGAGCATCGTTGCACTATTGTATACTTGTAAAGGAGGAGTGATCCGTTTTTAAGTAGGCCCAGCTTCGTTGCCACAGACTTTCTCGTAGTGCCATGAGTGTGAACCTTTCTTGCCCCAGTTGTCTTCTATATTCGATATCAGTGAGGTCAAATGACCTGCGGCGCGTATAGTACCGAGAAACGCGCCTGAGCGAGACTCGCTCTTACCCTCGTCTCAAGTTACTTCCATCTAGCTACTGTGAGGATAAGCTCTGAATTTTCTGCTCCCTGATAAATCTTTTGCCTGAAAGTAGCCGAATTTTATGCATCATCTGCCACCTGAGCCCCATTCATCGGTAGGTTACGGCTGCGAAAGACACCATCGGCATTTCAGAATGGCGGAGATGGCCGGTAGCGAAAGCCACAGCCAGGTGGCGTATTCCATAACACGCTAGAAGTGCGCTGGGTTATCAAAATTCTAGAAGGAGGCGCTCTCTGAGTTTGTGGTGCCGAGCTCGTATATGGATGGATAAGCTTAATATAAGCGCTAATTGCACCGCGCCAGAACGTCCAGTCACTTCATGGAAACTTGAAGACGAAGTGTAAATTCTGCTTCAATTTCAGTGAATCAAATTGTTGTCCATGTTACAAAGCTTTTTAGGTAAGACATTGCTGAGGTGCTTTTCCTAACATGCTCTACTGGACTGTTCACCACGCAATCGGCGCAGCGATGTCGTGATTACCTCCACCAGCCGCACCACCAACATAATCCCACTAGGACCAAATTGATCAACAATTCGACCCGCTTACCCTTTCCTGCAAAACTGCCGAAGGCATTTATTTCTCCCTTCTTCTCTATAGGTCCGATGCTCTAGCATATCCGATAGCTCTCCGCTCGCTTGCGCATCTTTCCAATCACGCCGCCCACCTGCCGCCTAAGAATTGATGTCAACACGCCTCCCGTCCCGTCTCTAAGTTGGTTCATGGTGTCCGTTCTCTCCAATAATATGGTTTGTGGGGTCAATCGCGAGTAATCCTGTTTCCACATGGCCTAGGTCTCGGGAGCTGTAAATTTTCTTTCTTATAAAAACTGAGGGTAGTCCGCCCGATGCTCTTCTGGGCCACACTTGAAAAAGTCCACCAGGCTTTAAGAAAGATAGGAGACTTATCAGTTCCTTCCTGCTCTTTCCTTCAAATCTCATATCATGGTGGACCACGAAAAGGAAGTTGAGGCTGGGACCTCAACAGTCCTTTCGGCGACGGCATCGTCGGACCGCGATGAAAACTATGACTTCTATCAGCAAAATCGCGGACTCGAGTATACCCCAGAAGAAGCGAAGAAGACTTTGCGGAAAATTGACAAACGGCTGGTTCCATTGCTCTTCATAATCTACATGATTCAGGTATGAGCTAGCCGTGACATCTGAAACCCTCTGTTCTTCAGCGAATGCTAATTGCATGCAGTATCTGGATAAAAACAGCATCAACTTCGCCTCTGTCTACGGGCTCAAACAGGGAACCCATCTCCAAGGGCAAGATTACTCGTGGTTGAGTATGTTATGAGCCCTTCTATTCGATGTCGAATAATCATGCTCACATAACCAGGTTCCATCTTCTATTTCGGCTATCTGATTGCTCAGTGGCCAGCTGGGTTGGCTTTCCAAAAGCTTCCGATCGGAAAATTTCTCGGTATCACAACGATAGGTATGGAAACTGAAACGTCCAATAACATGGACACATTCTAACTTGCAAACATAGTGTGGGGCGGTTTACTCATGACCACACCGGCATGTCACAACTTCGCGGGTATTGCCATCAACCGCTTTCTCCTCGGCCTTGTGGAGGCTGTCGTTAACCCGGGCTTTGTCCTCATGATGAGTATGTGGTATACGACTCGTGAGCAGCCATTGCGCCTGGAATCTTATTACTGCACCAATGGCATTGCAACGATGTTTGGAGGGTATGTATAAGCTAAAGTAGATCTTTCCGTGCTGGAGCAATAAAGCTAATTCATCATGATAGACTTATTGGCTACGCTGTTGGCCATATCAACACCGGTCTGCCGAAGTGGATGTACGTTTTCCTCATTTTCGGTGCTTTCTCCGTCGTCACCGGTGTCTTTGCACTGTGGCTACTTCCCGACTTGCCATCAACTGCCAAATTCCTCTCTGAGCGTGAACGTGCAATCGCTGTCGATCGTGTCGCAATTAATCGACAGGGTGTCAAAAGCCACAAGTTCAAGTGGTACCAAGTCTGGCAAGCCGCGCGAGATCCCAAGACGTGGTTGCTTTTCATCATGGCGGTGGGGGCCCAGGTGCCTAATTCGGCATTAACAAGTGTACGTCCTATGTTCTTACACACTAATTAGTCCTTTTTCTTCCTTCTTATGAGACTAACCGATATCACCCCCAGTTTACCTCCATTATTGTCGGCACCTTTGGCTTCGATACCCTCGGCACACAGTACCTCCAGATCCCCGGCGGCGCAGTCAACTTCCTCACTCTGTTGATTGGAGGGTGGATTGCAACGAAGTATGCGGACAGAATCCATTCGCGAAGTGCATGCATGATCGTCGCGAATCTTACTTGCATTCTGGGGGCGGGGTTGCTCGTCGGACTACCATCCACAAATAAATGGGGCCGCCTTGTAGCACTGTGGTTGTGTTACTTTCAGGGCCTGGGCTTCAGCATGAGTCTGACGATCATAAGTTCCAATATCGCTGGCTATACGAAGAAGCAGGTTACTGGCGCCTTACTTTTTACTGGATACTGTGTCGGCAATATTATTGGGCCTCAGACGTTCAAGGAGAGTGAAGCGCCGGGGTATCACAGTGCTTATATTGCGTGAGTGTTTGGTGACAGCAATTCCCTTGGCGATGAAGAAGATGCTGACTCCTCTTAGAATGCTCGCTGGATATGCGGTCAAGACTGTGTCTATCGTAGCGTTGTACTTGTATATGTACCTCGAAAACAAGCGACGGGATCGCGCGGCGCTTGAAAATCAGGAATCGGAGGGCGATGGTGTTGAGAATGGGATGCTAGTAAGTTCGCCCCGACGAAAAGGATTTGCGTGACCTAGAACTAATCGTTTATCTAGGATCAAACCGAGATTGATAACAAAGCCTTCCGCTACGTTCTTTAATTAATCACACATGGCGTCTAATAAGTGCCAGAATCAATGACGGATGATATCCTGTTTTCAACCTCAGAACCGTAAAAATATTCATCAATGCTTGGCTGTTTTCCATGACACCCTTCTAAGTCATACGTCTGGTGCCCTGCTGGCCCACAATGATCAGAGGCCCCCAAGAAAGCGCTCAGGATCCAGTAGCGATGTGGCTTTCTGATGTTACTCGTTTTCTCCTGGTCGCAGCATGGGATCAGTGTCCTGGCGCATCTTGTTGTCCCGATTGTTATCGGGATCAAAACGGCCGATACATTTGATCAGGGTTTCTCGGTTGCTGGTCTTGTCCTTTAGATATAAATCTGGATGCTGATGACACGAGGCAAAGATTATCTACTGATGACACGAACGATTCTGATTTCTGGTATTAACTTTGCTTTTCCAAGTCGCAGCTCTACACATATCTTGGACGCACTCCCTGTTCCAGAAAGGGTACTAAAGGAAGTCCACAGCGTCTGTGGAAGCCAGCAAAGAAAGACCGGGTAAGTTCTCGGTACCCGCCAGGCCGATGAATATGTGGAATCGAATACAAAGAAGAAATATGTACAGAAACAAACCCCGAATATTCCCACAGATAACGCGATAAATTTATACAAAAGTTTATACTGGGGATTGGATTGTGTATGTTTCGCTCCCCAGCTGTAGTAATCTAAGAACAGTTGATGATAGCATCCGAGATCTTCTCGGCAAGCATATCTGCTCCAAGGGTTAGAGATTGTGGGAGGCACAGTTAGAGCAAGCAAGAAGACTCACAAACTGTCGATTGGGGATGACCAGGAGGCAGGAATGGGAAGGCGCTCGCATCCACGACACGCAGTCCCTGCACGCCGTATACCCGTGCCTGGGCGTCCACCACAGCCATGTCGTCGTCGGACTTGCCCATTTTGCAGGTACAAGCTGCATGCCAAAGAGTCATCACATTATTTCTAATGAATTCGAGGATATCGCTGTCACTTTGGACTTTCACACCCGGGTAGTATTCTTCTCCGATGACCACGGGTGCCATAGCATCGCTCTTGAAAGCCGCGCGCATTCTCTTGAACATGGCGATGGCAACTTCCTGATCAGCTGGGTCATCGAGCCAATTGGGATTGATGACGGGGAGGTCATCAGTGTTGGAAGATTTGATGGTGATATTGCCTCGCGATGAGGGTGCGACCAAAACGCCCAAGATGGAGGCATACTGGTATCCGTCCTTTGGCTGATCAGACAGTAGATTAGAGACATTGCCGATATAGCCTGCACCAGAGATGTACTCAGCCTCTGGCCAGTCTGGTGGGAACCTAGACAAAGCTTTTTGAGAACTCTGGGTGAACTTCGCGCGTAGGGCTTGTGGGATCTTCTCCCAGGCTAGGTAGTCGGCGACCGGGTTCGTCAAGGGGCCAGACTTCCCCGCTACCCCATTCAAGAGCTGACCAGCCGCGTAAATAAAGTTACTCGTGAATTTAGTAAGGGTGTCGACCTGTACACGATATGAAGGCGCGAAAAATGGATGGTCCCACATGTTTTGTCCCACACCAGGCCGGTCGGCAATCACGGTGATTTCGTGCTGTTTCAGCTCATCTGCAGGACCGACACCGGATACCATTAGAAGTTGTGGAGACTGGAATGCGCCAGCAGATACTATAACCTCCTTTGAGGCTGAAAGAGTGAACGTATTGCCGAACGTGCCCCTAACCTGTACGCCGGTTGCTTTCTTCTGTTCATTGAACACGATCTTCTTCGCGAGGGTTTGTGAGTACGCCTTCAGGGTCGAAGGCTTGATAGATGCCAGGAATGACGTCTGCGAGCTGCTACGGAGCTCACTTGATGGATCGATTGTAGACGAGCAATACTGTCCTCCCATCAAGGAACCCGAATTGAAGTCCTGGGTATCGTTGATGCCGATTGCCTGCATGCCGAGGTTCATCCAGGAAGAGAATGTTTGGGCATAGTTCGAGTATGATACCTGAAGAGGGCCGCCGTTGGGGTCGAATGCATCGGCATTGTGTCCTGCTGTGGCATTGGAAGCTCGAAGCTTGGAATTTGGGGCCGTGAAGTGTGGGCTACGTTTGTAGAAGGGAAGAGCATTGTCAAAGGTGTAGCTTTCATCGTCGACAGCGTCTGCCCATTCTTGCATTGAATCTCGAGTAGGTCTGTGCAATTGGGAATGAGTGTCTGGTCGTTTTAAATGGTTTACGGTGAAACGCTGACCGTTGGTAAATCATAAAGTTCAAAGCAGACCTGTTAGGTAGTGTCAGAGTAGTCTGCAGTCTTAGTTTATGGGGGCGACAACTCACGACCCTCCCAAACATTTGCCTCGAGCATAATGTATCGCCCGCCCATTTGCACCAGGTTGCCCCCGTGTGACGAATCCCCAGTCCACCGCTGACTGTGTATTGGGATCCGATCCCGCGGGGAGTACGTCAGCAGCAGGGACGGCCGCCAGAGACTCGAACTCGTACAGACCTCCAGCTTCAACTAAAGCAACCTTGAAGGAATGCTGCGCGATTCGTGTCGCAATGACGCTCCCGCTGGTGCCTCCGCCCACGACAACGTAGTCAAAGGTCTCATCCCCGATCGCAAATGAATGGACGGCACTCGCCTGGACTGCCAGGAGCGCATATACTACCTTGAAAAGCATTGATGAGACCACAAGGCACTCAATACACCTTGGTGTGAAGATGTGAGGGAGGGGAAAAGGGAGTTCCGGGGTGTGAAGGGATTTCACGGATTGATGGGCGCAGCTGCATCAATCTATTGAACTATCGGCGGCTTGCAGTCAATATTTGAACATTGCCTTTTTTTAATAGAAGTAAGGCCCATCTCCACCCCGACATCTGGATTCAAGCCTCATCATTCGAAGATATACTAGCCCAGTTTCGTCTGTCTATAAATTGGGCGACGAGCAAACAGATGGTATGCATGTTTCACTCTATCTTGGGGCGCCCTAAAATTAAGCATGGACGGCTCCACTTTAAGTCCCACCTGCGGCTTGTCCACGCTGAATGCTTTAAGCGTCTACAAGCGTGACCGCTCCATGAGAGACTGAACCGTGGTTTTACCTGAGAATGTCTTTGAATTCCCAATAAAATGCAAATTGATAATGACATTACTAGAGATCAGATAGTTTACAGTACAAGCAATGACAAGACAGTTAGATCTGCCATTTCCTCTGGATCATGGGCGATCCTAGGCTGGAACACAAGAACCCTGGCACATGACCCAAGGCAAGCCAATGGGACGTTGGTAAGTGCATTGATAATACAGGTGCACCAATAGGATGAATCGTAAGTCCGAATCAGTTGGGCTGAGATACTGTCGCAATCAATTACCTGACCTCCAGGGTTAAGCCAGCCCGGCATATGCTTGTTACCAAGAAACATGGAAGTGGAGATTGATGAGATGAGACTCGAGAATTTGGGGATGTAGATCATGTAATTCCATTTGCTCAGCCATCTAGAATGGATTTGAACAAGTCATCGCAAGGAATACATCCTTATCATTTTACATTGTCTGCAGCGCTCATACAATTCTTGATGTCCCGAGCGAAATCAGCTATGCCGATACAGGTCCGATACGGCGAATGTTACCGGCCTTCTATCGGACTTGGCTCACGTGATAGGCAACCAACATGAAGGGATCTTTCTTGACAGCTTCTCATGGCTTTGTATTCTTCGTTGAACTACTTGACTAAATCGATGATATTCAAAGAGCGTAAATATATGCCATGAGTCAATAAGAAGCGATATCAACAAAGTCCGAAACCCATAACCGTGTGGGTCCGTTTATGTGACGCAACGGTACGAACAGCGTCACCGGCCTCCTTACGTTTTGTTATGTCGGCGCCCATAACCAGGCGCAATCGCTCATTGGCGTCTTGTGAGCCTTGTCGGGAGAGAAAGACTCGATGCGATCATATAAAGCCGGTGTGTGCTGCCTGCCAGCGTCGGGGGCTCGACTCTCGATGCTATTACCACCCTGCACCCCTCTCCAAGAATCCGAAACCGCGAAGGCCGATCGTGCCCGCGCCATCCCGACCAAGCCACGCTGCACCACCATGGATTAGGAACGGTTCCAAAAGCCATCAAGGCCTTGGGTGGCCTACAGCTGGGGCTCCCAAATTTCACACATGGCCTTTCATGTCGGCGGTCTGCAGCGACACGCCGCCACAGACTCCTACGCCAGAGTCCCGCAACAGCAAAGCTTACAATTCTCACTTGGCCACCATGAAGGAGATTGTATCTCAACTGAAGTATCTCCCAGTTATTGAGATATATCTCCAACGGTACTATTCTTTCAAGCAAAATGTACTCGTACCGAAAGCAGTCCTTCTTCACCTTGTGAAAACGCTCCGCAACGACTTGGTGTCTTCAGGCCATATTCTTGGAGAAACGGAGGGGCGAGTCGAGCTTGACGATGTGTCTGAGATGTCAGAAGCTGTGCTGCATTCTTCTACCACAGAAGTCGTCATAACCCCGTCGTTAGATCTGCATAGTTTCTTGGCATTGTTCTGTGGCACGAATCTGCGAGTTGAGACTCTGGGTCTGTTTTACGCCATGGCAGCACGTGCGTCACTCTTCTTTGTTGACCGCGATGAGGACAAGGATGAAGAATTTCTGAAAGACATGGTTTGGTATAGCACATTAAGCTTACGACTGGCTCGTGACCTTGCACCTCAATCAACCGACGTCATCATATGGTTAGCGAATGAACACGTGCAGCTACTATCATTTCTTGAAGGAGATGCGAGTAAGTCACACCACATTCATATTTTTGACAGACGAAAGCTAATTAATTTCAGGCCTGCGTGTCTGGCGCTTGGTAGGTGATCTCACGACAGATCTATTGGCCCTGGGATTGCATCGAGAAGCAACATATTCTCCTGAAAGGGCGCCTTTTTTTCTTGCAGAGTGCCGTCGAAGATTATTCGTAACCGAATACTATCTGGAGAAGATGTTTGGTTTGATATTCAAACTCCCCCCACGAATTACGGCCCAATATGTCGACGTCAAGCTTCCTCTTGATCTATCAGACGACGAGCTGCTTGTTTACACCCCGGAGGAACTAGAGGAAGCCAAAAGCCGGTTAACCGAAGATGGCTGGAATACGGATGGAAAGCACAGAGCAGCAACGTGGGCTCGACTACGTTACATTCTGAGTCAGTTTCGGGAGGCAATCGTCGAATATCAATTTCAGGCATCACAAGCGGCTGATCCCTCCAAGCTTAGGTAAGAACGACTGATTTGAGAGATTTTAAATCTATACTAACAGTGCTTAGGGATTTATCATTTCGGTGCCGCCAGACTTGGGACAACCTGCTTCCCCACCTAAAATATAACCAAGACTGCTGGAAGTCCGACATGCCTCTTACCGTCTGCTATATGCATGCTAAAGTTCACTTGGGCTATCTCCAAATACATTTCCAAATATACCACACGATCGGGGAAGTCAATTCCTCCCCTCTTCCGGAGCTACTTGAAGTTTCTGCAAATATACTGGAGACAGTCGTGCAAATTGGAAATTCCCGCAGCAAAGGTGCTTTCGCCTTTAATGATCTACCTGAAATCGTAAGTCTTGTTGCCTCACGTTCCACCACTCCTCTGCATAAGCTGACAGAATGAAGCTTCTTTCCTGTGGCCTGTCCTCGGCCGCAGTCCTTCTAACCGCACTCGAGAATAGCACCCAAGACTACTCGAGAAGTCTTCCACCCGGTATCAAGATGTCCGTGCTTATTCGGAACCTTTCCGTACTGGCTTCGCTACTTGACAGTGTGCCTAGTCCCCGAGAAAGGAATCAAACATTCTGCTTACAGGCTGCCAAGGCTATTACGGAAAAGTTGGACAAGACTTTGGAAAAGCTCGCTACGTCTAATTCTCTTGTAACCCCAGATATCGTGACCAGCAATGACGTGAGCCCTATATCAATTTTGACACCCAATGCTGGCAGCTCTCTTTCCGCTGGACATGAAGAGATCGATGCTATTAACTTGGCTGATTATGAGAATTTTGATCTAATGTCTTGGGCAATTAATGTTGATTTTGGGAATACACCCAGCAACTGGAATATGATTTAGAACCAATGCCATTTCCCATGGACCGAAGATTTTTGCACAAATCGGCTCAGAAATAACACATAACCAGCATAGAATTAACATCGACGTATTGTCATGGACGTGCCTGGAGTCGCTAAATTATCAAGTATTTAGAGAGAAGGCAATAGAAGGAGGGCTCTTTGCTGTACAATTTTAATTCTAATAGTGCGTTCGAAGCCACGAAGATGATCAGTCCTCTAGTTTCTTGAGGGTCATAATTTTCCAGCTAGCCGAATGCTCACCCTACGTTCAACCGAAGATAACATTCTCTATATATTAATCCATCCATGAGATAACCAACGCAAGGCAGTTCATGCAACCAGTGAGTAAATTTCCAGGGCAATCAAGAGAGCCCTAAGTGGTGAAAAGCAAAACCACGGGGCGGAGTTTGCCGTCATTTGAACCTGCTCGTTTGGTGTGATGTCCTTTTGTTGTCAGATATGTTCCTGAATCGTGAACTGGATGACATTTTCATCTTGCCACTCGGAAGATATGACTATCATTGGGGACGAAATTTGAAGATGCTGGGAAAAGTGACAGCCTGGGCCCCCGAAGAGTCTCGGAAGTTGACGGGGGGTATGGACCGCTTGTTCGCCATATGTAAAACTGGTTAAGTTACTTGGATTCGCTGCATTCTTCGGCAGTTTCTCTACTACCATACATAGGTCTAGTTATAAATCCAATTTATGGCTAAATAAACGTCGGTCCATGGGCTGTGTGAGCCTTTGTGGCTTGACTGAAGACAGCGAAGATCTCTTAACATCTGTCACCGCTACTTTGAAATGAGTATATGGCGAGAGTTTACCGCCACTAGCTAAGGTTTCGGGTAAGACCCGCGGTTTGATCCACAGGGCCCATGAACTCAACCCCTAGCCGGGGGATGAGAGGCAAACCAGCCTACAGCTGCATCTTAATGTGTTGTTCTTCTGAACGGAGAAATGCGTTATGTGAATGGTCTCTAAGGGAGGCTTCGCTGAATGATTTTGAATATCAGCCAATCAACAGCCCCCGGTAGCAATAATGAGCTTCTGGTGAACGTGCTAATCAATTTCTCCACCTCTATCTTAGCAGGCATAGAAGATCGACGAACTCTGTAGTGGGGAAATGTTCAAGATTTGACTAACCGTATCGGGACTACTACGCATATACTTTTTTTTTCCTTTCCACAACAGCTACAGTAGTAGCGATCTTACAGAAATACCATGTACATAGAAGGGTTACACTGCATTATGAGTCCGAACCTTATAACTGCCTGACTCTATGTGGTGATGCCAATCGCGTCAATTCCCTCAGGAGCAAACTTCGACGGAATACGAGTATCAGTTGTATTCAAAAAAAAAAAAAAAAAAAAAGCGCATCTAAACGGCCGTATATGACTGTTTCTATCTAACACTCGAGAATTTTCCAAGTTAAGCTAGTACAAATAATAACACGAGGTGGGGCGGGGCAATCGATGTGAGTTTCTTTTCTTGTTGGGAAGTTCAAGCCGGCATTATCCCGGGCGGTGGCGGTGGCTGCTAACTATGTACCACCTGCTTACTATAGAACTTAATTCAGTTCCGCGATACGATCCAGCGTATATTATTCTCTTCCAGTTCATAAAGTGCGATGTGATATCATACCCGCAAAATTTTAAGCGACTTTTAGTACTGTTGATGAGTGAAAGTGGCCCCAACCCTTAGTAGTGTACGTTCTAGTATGCAAGAAAGAAAGATTTTGTTGACCCGGCTGCGGATTGAACCCGTAAACAATCTATTAGGATGCATTGATCTGCTATATGATTGACCAGAGCACCTGGCCAGCCATATGTACTCAATTAAATTCAAGCTTTGAGACTTCTTGTTGTCGTCACGGGTCTTGTGCCTACACTATTGTCAAACAGGCTCGGAGTGCACATATGATAGCACTGATATTCTGTTATGCGTAAGATCGGTACAGTGACAAGTTTATCAGTAGCGCACATGAAGCTGGGGGGAATAAGCTTCACAGTAAGGGATAGGAGATTTTCTATTTAGGACACCAATGCCTGGGTATCGCTCTGGTTGACAAGATGGAGGTATTGACAACTTAGCTCCTTGTGATAAAGCAAAGAGAATAGAAACAATACGTTAGGTATATGAAGCCCCTCAGCTGTCGGCCTTTGAATTCCGTGGAGCAATCTTACAGTATAGAAACCGCGAATCAAGACTCCGTGTATTCAGAAGTTTTGGTGGTCCGTTTAGTTAGGAGGCTTCTATCCGTCTAAAACTGATTGGTCTATGGTTTACTACCTTGTCGCGGACTGCGAGATGCCACCTGGTTTTAGAACTAATTCTTGACCCTGAGTCCCATGGCAAGCTACAATTATAGCTTTAAACGCTGAATATGACCCATTTCTACGCACCCTCGACGCATATGAAATAACTGCCTCTAATGCTGTGAGAGAACGCAAAGAAGAATGATTCAGTTCAGATTGTGGTAATACAGTGCCTACAACTTGATTTCAGCTGACTTTCTAGAGCTTTTCATATACAAGATTGTAAATTACGGGCGACTTTTCACCTTAGGGCATTTCTTGGGATTTTTTTTACTCCATTATGACCAACAAGCTAAGAGCCAGAACGGCTAGCATGGATAGTGGGTTGAACAATTAGTTGGTGGGCACTGTAGTCCTCGTGCAGGGATTTTTTCCTAATCCCTGGAGAGATCATCGATCTCTCGCATATGCAGACCCCATATGAAGCGACGAAACATGTTGCGAGCAGTTCTCGTTTATGACCCATCACAACCCCCTTTAGACGCAAAGCCCATGATAAAAGCGGTCATGAAGGCCGTATAAATGGATGTGGTCCCGATTCCTCTCATCGGCGAAAGCAAATACAGTCTTACTATTAAGATGACCACTCCTCCAGTTTTTGAGCCATATGTGCTCTCTCCGCTTGATCATTTAACTCTCCCTGTATATCTTTATCCACTCTTTGTTTTCCACGTCGACAGCCCAAACTTGGCAATTCCGGTTCTCGAGCTCGCCGTTTCACGTCTTGTGAATCTTCTGCCGTTTCTCGCTGGAAACATAACTACTTCGACCCAATTGAAAGGAAAAGAAAATGTGTTGGAGGTGCAGCCCCCGACCCAGAGATTCCTGACGGATTTTCCAATGCTGAAAATCAAACATCATCGCCAATGCATTTCTCCTACTACCTCAGGCTCAAATGCCAAAGCGGGTCAATTTCTGAATGAAAATCTTTTTCCAATTCCTTCTGAGATGGCCGCGGAGGCCCTCAGTCCTATCTTCAGGATTCAAGCCAATGTTATGGGTGATGGGTTGATTCTTTGTCTGGCCTTTCATCATATGGCAATTGATGGGGTCGGCTTAGTGAATGTGGCCACGGCCCTTGCGACTTGCTGCCGGGATTCTCGGGCTGAGATCGAAACTCTGCCCACCGACCCACAACGGGAAGAACACAGTCGCCAATTGATTTTTGAAAGTGGATCTGTTGCTAATAGCACCGACAACTTGGAAGCTGAATACGGTGACAGCTCTTGGGATTTTACTTCCAACCCTGAATACGAGGAGCCGATCAGCAAGATCTTCACTCTAGATGCCGGCAAAATTGAACGGATCAAAACTGAGTGCCAGCTCATGGTTGAAAAAGACACCAATATGCCGAATCTACGCTTGACGAGCAACACTATTGTAACTGCCATACTGTGGATGTGTTGGATTCGTGCCAAGCATCATAGTTCGGATTCAACAGAAAAGCCGAACGACGCCGAATCGACTATCCTCACAACGGCAGACGTTCGTGGTAGGATTGAGCCACGCCTACCTACTAGTTACATAGGTAACGCTCTCTTGGCGGCAAAAACATCAGCCCGCATTCAGGATATCCGGTCTACAAAAGCTGTTGATCACACATCACACCGCTCAGGACACATCGATCATTGCGAGATTGAGCAAATCTCGAGACTCGCAGTATCTCTTCAAAAGTCCGCCGAATCGATTGACAGTCAATATGTCAGCAGCGTTATATCCCACATCATTTCTAATGACAATTGGGCAGCAACTCCACTCCCAACCGAATTCGTGGTCAGCAGTATTCGGGCTTTTAAGCTCTATGATCTCGATTTTGGGCCGACCCTAGGGTCAATGCGAGATTTTGGCTTGGATTACAACCGCATTCCAGGTCTTTGCTGGATCAAACCGGCCCGATACAATACGAAGTTGGCACCTTGGGAGTTAATCATCATGTTGGAGCCAAAATTCATGAGCAATTTTGAATTCGACGGGCTGATCAACTGGCTCATAGTGAAAGATGGCCCAAGATTGTGATTCGTCTGTTTCTGCAATAGAGGCTTTTTCAGGGCCCCGCTTAATGGCACCATTCAAGCCACTAGCGAATATTCTGAGTGGTGAGAGTCTGCAATAGTTTCCACTGCGGGTCGATAGTTCATTCCCTATACGAAGCTTTGGGAGAGGGCCATTAGGTACGATGTGGGATGCGGTGAGAGCTAGCTTGAGTATGTACGCAATATTAGGTTTACAGCATGAAAACCAGGTTTTCCTTTGGCAATGGAGGAGATAGCTCCAACTTCCAAGTGAATTCTTCAATAAATCAAAAAACATGTTCAGTCTTCATTGATCAATATTATCTTTTGCCAAGGAATGTTTAGCCTTTCCGGGGTTAGGATTACCATCTGCAGGAATCGCATCGGAGTACAAATGTAGAACCGAAGTTGGCCCGAAGTGGAGATCAAGGGCGATAAGAAGAGGACGAGTTACCCCACCCATCACGACTTTCGGATGAGTCCTGTGTTGACCAAACTCCGCTTTGGTGGTTAACCTGTATTCATTGACTGTTATCTTTTGGTGTGGGGTCGTGACTTCTCCAAAAGTTCGAAGATGAAGAAGCTATAGGCTGATGGGGTTAGCAAGCAGATTTATCTCTACTAGTATGAACGGAGAGCAACACGACTGATAAAATGCTAAATTAGTTGGCAAAATATGCGGTCTACAAAACTCATGGCTGATTCAAGCATGAATGGGAATAATTCTGAGCACCAGGGCCGCCTTCATACCGAGTCGGACATGACTGATTTTGAAATATTCGTTTCAATATAGCTTGTGGGGTGTGTTTTGGTGCTCTAATCATTCTTAGTCATTGCGCAATATCTGTTGTGTGTAGATGACCGTAATGTAGAGGGAGCTGACGTATTTGCTTTCAACCCTTGGATACTCCTGAGCTCCCAATATTGAATATGTTGTTATACTATTCTTAACACCTCTTCTGATACCTCTTTGGGTACCGCTTTAAACGTGCGCATTTTTTTATTTGAAATCAGTGAATCCTACCAAACAACCACATATAGATCATACCTGCCATCTTGTCATCGGCTCTCCCCTTTATTGAAAAATATATGAGAGCGGGGGAACGATTTCGTTGCATAAGTGTAGGTGTAGTAGTGTTGAGTGTGCAGTGATTCCTTGACCCCTCAGTAATGAATGCCCCTTATCTATCTTCTTGATTAGCACGGAACTAAATTTGAGCTCCGGAGTATGCCAGCTACAAATGCTAAATTTTTAGGATCTTTTGGAGGCGCTCCGACGGATCCATCCGACTAGATCGACCTACCTCATTGGCTCAACAAAAGTGGCGTCTCGGGCAACTACCATCTCCTAAAGATGTCTTAAGTTGTCGCAATCTTCCCCTCCTTCCTCGCAGTTCAGACTCTTCAAGCCAGAGAGGATACATCATGGGCAACACACTTTCCGCATACAAAGAAACTCCCCACGAGATTGACCTTGGGTCCAAGGGAAAAATCAGAGGCATCCAGTTTGACCACAAAGCCCGAAGATATGCCGGCGTTCCCTATGCGCTGCCTCCAGTCGGCGCTCATCGCTGGCGCAAGCCCCGCCCGTTACCCGCGACACACAGCTATTCTCAATCAGGCGGCACTGCTTTCGATGCGTCTTATTTCCGCCCTGTGTGTCCCCAGGTGACATACTCTCGAGGAGCCGAGAAAGATGTCGGTGCAGAAGCATATAGCGAAGATTGTTTGCTGCTGAACATATGGACACCCGTTGATGATCCTGAAACAAAGTCCGACAAGAAATGGCCCGTCGTGTTGTGGCTCCATGGTGGCTGGTTCCAGCTCGGCGATCCATTGCAAGAAGTTGGCATGAATCCCACCGAATTGATCTCCACGGGCAAACTGAACGCCATCGTAATTGGAATTGGATATCGACTGAATGTCTTTGGATTCCTTGCCGGGGAGGCCTTGCTAGAAGACAGTGATGGTGAAAGTGCGGGCAACTTTGGACTGTGGGACCAGCGGCTTGCGATGGAGTGGGTCTACGAGAACATCGCGACTTTCAATGGAGATGTGAACAACATCACACTCGGTGGTCGCAGTGCCGGGGCATACGGAACACATGCGCAGGTGCTTTACGACTTTCGGCAAGAGTCTCAGCTATTCCGCCGGTTCTATATGTACTCAAATGCGATTCCAGCTCAACCGAAAGCCCTTGCCGATGTCAATCCCCAGTTCGATGAGCTTTGTGAATATTTCAAGGTCCCCGGTGACCTTTCTGGGCCAGAAAAAGTGAACAAGCTGCGTGAAATCAACTACAAAGACCTTGTAGCCGCCATAAGCCACCTCAAGAATCATACATTCCGGCCCGTTACCGACGACTTGTTTATCTTCCAAGGATTCACTCAATACCATCACAGCGGTGCCTTTGCCGAGGAGTTCAAGAAGCGGCGCCTCAGGATTCTGATTGGTGAAGTCTTGAATGAGGAGACGCTCTATGCGACATACAACAGTCCCGAGCCCAATCTCGAGTCTCTCAGAGTACAAGTCTCGAATTATTACGCTCCCGAGACCGCTGATCGTGTCATTAAGGAATACCAACTCCCTTCGACCGAGGACCCTAATGAATGGAACACACTTTTTGGAAATATCATCTCAGACGGCCAAGTTAGAGCGCCTTCTCGGTGGTTAATACACAATCTTAGTACCCATGGAGTCGCTCTGCGGGATATTTGGCGCTACAGAATTGCATATCGGCTATCTTTTATCACCGACAAGGTAGCACCTCTATCTTTTGGCGTGTCCCATGCTATGGATAAGCCATTTTGGAAGTAAGTACAGTTGGAAGATGTGCAGTTGAAGGCAAACACAAAAAGCTACTAATTTATCTCAACAGCTTCTCGATCTTGCACGGTCCAACTACGGCCGAAAGAAAATTGATGGAGAATTGGATTGAGCAGTTTGTTGCATTCGTGAATGACAACCAACAGTATGAATACGGTACACGTGCGATCGATGAGATGAAAGTCGCCACACCAGAGGGAAGTATTGAGATACAAAAGGACCAGCGCTGGGATAGTCTGGTCAAATTAGGCGAGGTGTTTGCAAATGATGTTTAATGGCTCTAAGATTTAGAGTTATGTCTGGTTATTGAAACTTTACAACTAAACCTTAGCGCTCCTTCTAAAGCTGCTCTCCGCTGTGATTGTTTAATTCTCCTACTACGTCCACTACGGCTTCTCACTGACAGTTATGGTCGCCTGTGAGCTGTGCGGCGTTCTCCCGCACAAAAGCAAGAATTTCATTGAGGTTCAAGAGAAAGGAAGGCAGCAGAGTGTAGGAATTGCAGAGTGTAGAGAGTGTTGATAATATAAGGAGACGAGACTTGGACAGGACTCTCGAGCAGGAGCAGCAAGATTATGATCCGTTCTTGGTAGCAGGCTACACATGCAAAATATGCAGTATTTGATGACAGATTTGTCAGCCAGGTTCTCTCGTATTTCCTAAGGATCCAATCTGTGGAAAGTGTTACTTTCCTTAGTCTTTGATCTGAAAATGAGCGGGAAATTCCTTTGTTTGACTTTCATTATTCGTGACTTTATGCTTAGGTAATGTACAACTTCATGACATAACTTTTATAGCTTGGAAGATGCAGCCTTAGCAACCAAGTGCGCATTGACAGGAGTGATGGCCTTGCCCTTCTCATGGAAAGAAATGATATTCTCCATACCCAGACGCTCAAAGCCAATGTGGGAGTCCAGAGAGGCACCGGCATTGTGAGACAAGACCTCGACATTTTTCATCTTACCCAGTTCATGGTTAACATGAGGCTCGTTGTAATGCACGTCCAGACCGGCAGCGGAGAGCTGGCCGTTCTTCAGGGCATCGAGCAAGGCAGCCTCGTCGAGGAGCTTACCACGGGCAATATTGACAAGCCGCGAACCGCGCTTCATCTTCGACAACAGGGATGCGTTGAGAAGGGTCTCGCCGCTGAAAGGCGTGGCCACCACAACGCAGTCAGATTCGGCCAGAAGGGTGTCCATGCTCTTGTGGTATGTAGCCTGGGAGACTTGCTCCAGCTCTTGGGGCATCTGGACAATGTCATGATACAGGATCTTCATGTTGAGAGCGAGGTACGCCTTTTCGGCAGTGCGACGGCCGATCTGGCCGAACCCGATAATACCAAGAGTGTGACCCTTGGGATTGAACGAGACTGGCGCGAGGTTGCGGTTTGCATCGACAAATTGATCAGGATCCAGGGAGCGAGCAGCCATTCCCGACCAAGAGAACAAGCGGAAGGTGGAGATGATCAGCCAGAGGGCTGCATCCGCCACCGACTCGGTACAAGCAGCAGCAGCATTGCAATAAACAACTCCTGCATCATTTATTAGTATGGACCTCCTGGTGTGTGATATTCACCGAGTCTAAAGAATTTAAGCTTACCCTTCTTCGCCAAACAGGCAGTATCAACCCAATCAAAACCAGCACCAGCACTGGCATACACCTTGCAAGAGTCAGGAAGCAGCGAGATCAATTCCTCATCCCAATTCCCCATCTCACCACCCGTGTTCCAGAAGGGCCGATAGATGGCAGAGAAATCGCCGAACTTCTTCTCCTTCAAAGCACGGATGAACTCCGGGCGCGACATGCTGTACGAGCGACGGATCTCAAATTGATCCTTGAATTTTCCATACAATTCATGATTCCAGCGGATATCGTCACCCAGTTGGAGGACGATTGGCTTGCCCATCTTGGTTATTTCCTTGCCGTGAATTTGGAGTTGGAGATGCGGGTAAAACGACTGATACAACGAAATCACAGTAGAAAGTCGGAGGATAGATTTGACCCCAGACCAGCGGACGGAAAGAATTAAGTATTTCGAGATCCATTTTTGCAACCTTTTGCAACGGCTATTGCCGTGCAGTGAGGCCTCTGTCGCTGTGGTCGGCTATTGACAATGTTCGGCTATAGAAATCCGATGCCTCGACAGGTGTGGGTCTTCCCCCCACGGCTCGGATACATCTCCGCACGGCGACTCCCCGGGGAGAAGAATGCTGAGAAGAGGTTGATGAAGATCCATTGGGTATAAACCAAGGAAATTGACTGGAATTGAGCATTGTCACTTCTCCGCACAAGATCAATACTGGGAGCCTAGGCCTCTTCTCGTCTTCCCGTCTTCGTCGCTGGTAGTTATACTTTCTGCAGATCACCCGGTTGCGGAAGTAAATTTCCAACAACTCTTCCTAGAACTTGTGGAAACTTGATACTTGACAATATTTGGACTGCACGCAAAAAGCAATAACCTTAATTGACTTTTATCCATGACCACAAAAGAAATTCCACAGTAGCTCCAACGAGTACTAAATAGGTGGAAAATGCGGCAATTAACAGGCTGGGTCGACTGCAAATCCCTACAATTGATCTGGGAGTTTTATTCAGTATGTACCGCACTTTAAGCCTTGCTAGTCTCATAGAAAATCTAAGTAGCTATTTATGGGCTTATAAAACCGTGCTGACTTCAACCAGAATGGATACCGCGGGGGAGGTTGTTGTATAAGAAGCATCGCGCTTTACATAGAGGTTAGTTTTAGTTTATTCTTCCGAAGGGGGCTAACAAAGATGCTGCTGCTTTGACGTAATACCTCATTAACTCGTTGTAAAGACTTTCTATTGCACAAAGATCAGCAAAAGTCCACTTATGGTGGCTCACATCAAAGGCCATCAGGATCGAAACCATACTTCAATGATCTTGGCTCATATACATGACCTCATTCCAGGAAAAGGCTATCGATACAATAAAGACAAGGATGAAATAGAGGGTTTTTTAAGCATTGATAGAGATCTTAAACCACACAAAGGGATATAATAAGAGAGGCAACGATTGTTCCATAGAGACAGTATGTAGTCGCGCGGACTTTTCTTGGGCGAACACTCTGTAGCGTGGATTTCTAGAAGGTACCGAATGATAAAACTTCAACGCATTATGGCTTTCGCGGAAAGAGCAGTGGAAAGCAGCCTGGCGATAATTGACTGCAACTTCATGTCCATATCAACGGGCTGCTTAGTCGCTTCGCGGCCTGTTAGCCGTGATTCGTCGTAACTCTTAACTTCCACCTTTTACTGTCAACTCCCGCAGCCCATATTGCCCAAACTTCCATTTTCAAGCGATTGGTACTCTATTTTGAACACCTGCATAATGCCTCCTTCAGTCCCTGATCCCCATGATCGCTCCAGTGGTACCCGAACTCCAAGGGAAGATCTCGATCTCGTGGCTTTCAAAAAATGGGAGGTCTACAGTGTCGACCTACTCCGTGTCTGGGACTTCGCCAAGGAGGGATTCAAAGACATCCCGAAAAATGTGCGTCTGAGCGATGAGGCCGCTTTTGCAATATCTGTGTTTATGCCTCGGTCCCTCCGTGCCATCTATTATCCGTACGATTTCGACTCCCATGGTGATCTTCGTGAATTTCGCATCGCCCAAGACCCACCTATGATCATCCAGTGCCACGGCATCAATTGGTTCCCTGTCTATCGCGGTGTGAACATCCTCTGCGGTTCCTGGTGGCCAGCATGTGGCTGGCTTCGAGGCGTTGATTTATCACCCGAATATGGCTACACTGTTGGTGAATATGCCGCTCCCCCGGAAGCCGTTGAAGCATGTACGACTCCATTTCAGCTCAATAGTCACCAGTTGCGTCCTTCCCCTTCCGGTGTCAGCCCTGACATGCTTCTTCTGGGCATTTGTCCTCCTGTCTCCTTGGAGGATGCTATTTCCCGCCAGGGCATCGCTCTCACCATGGATATCGAGCCCCGCCGCATCGCTGTCATTGGGTCCAAAGCGACATACTGCATTCGGAATTTGACTAAGATCAAAGGCTTCCACTACCTTGCCGGCCCTACCTCTGACCCCAAGGATTCATCGCAGAGTATCCACCGGCACCGTTCATCAAAGAAGGTTGATCTCCAAAAGGTGTATGGCGGTCCATACAAGAATTTCACTACCACAAAGGCTCAGAAGAATTGGGAAGGGGATGCGACTGTTCAAGATACATGTTCTGCGGGCTGATGGACTCTTTGTTTGGCTGTCTTCGGCGAGGTGAACTGAGTCCAGGATCAATAAGATATCGCCTCCCTCCATGTGCGGCCTCAACACAACCAGTGATCTATCTACCCTTTGATCTGTATGCTATCTAGCGGCCTAATAATACTGATTCAATTTCCTGACTCGTGATTGTAAACAATGAACCCTTTCTATACAACTTGCATTTCCTTTATGTTTACACGAAGGATGAATCACGTGTGCTTTATCATTGTCCACCACGTCTGTTTACAAACGGGACTTCCTTCCGCCTCTCTACCGCCTCTCTAAGCCCTCCGGAATGAGCGTTTCAAGAGAGCGTCTAAATGATCTTAACTTTGGTCGTTGAGCAAGAGAGTAATGTTGTCTTGTATTTTATTCCTTGCTTTGTGTCAATGCTAAGAGGAAACTTCCCATGCTGAGTATGAAATCAAAAGCTACAGAAAATAATGTTCAAGGTGTACGTGGGTGACGAGTTTGAACTTAGGAAGTAATATACCGTCGCGAAGATACTAAGCCAAGTCCCGAGCACATTGTTCGTTTACAATCGCAGGGATTCCTTCCCCAATTTCACCATACACACAATTTTTGCCACGGTTCTCGCTTACGAAGGACGATAGTTTCTCCAGGTTCTCCTGCGTTCTCCTGCGGGGTAAAACGTGCTACAATGCCTTGCTCTTGCCCTAGCGAGATGAATATACACTCCACGGAAAGTATAAAAATGCAGCACATGGAGTAATTTCGGCTCCCCAGGATATCCTCGGAGATATCAAACCATAATTCTCTCATCTTATCCACCGGGATGCCGAATTACACCCGTTCCTGGCCAACGAGGATGATCTCGGGGACATGCTGGAGTATTCCGGGAAAATCTTCGGGGGTTGCGTCATTTCTATTTGCCCGCCGCTGCATTTCTTGGCACCCAAATTCCCCGTGGGCTCATGGCAACCCCAGATATTAGCAAATCAAAAGGCTAATTTAGCTTTCGGTTGCCTGCCAATGCTGCACGTTGAGTTTCCTGTTATGCATGGAAACCCGAGGATGTGGCGATTATAATCCGGAGTTCGTTACTTTACTTTCTCCAGTCTTCTATATAAAGGTAGGCTCTTGACGTACAGACTATCCCCAGATTCCCCCATTCTTTCATTTGAGCTGTACAGTAAATATGAAGACCAACACAATCGCCACGGCGGTCACGCTGGGCGCTAGTACCTCGTCAGTATGGGGTCAATCTCTCACGGTCGATATGATTGACAAAATGGCCAACAACACACTCTTTACACGATGGAGGCCGACTTCGCATTTCCTTGCTCCGGCAGGATGGATGAATGTATGGTCCGGTCTTAATCCAAGGAGATTGATATGTTGAATGTGGATAGCTTACACAGATCGACATCTTAGGATCCTTGTGGACCGATGTATGACCCGGTTCAGAATCTCTACCATTTGCACTACCAATTCCACCCCAACCATGTAAACTGGGGTATGGACTCCTCCTCGCAACTTTCCGAGACGACTTGCTGATCACAATTCCAGGTAATATCTCCTGGGGACACGCAACGTCCCCCGATCTCATTACGTGGACTGATGTCGACCATCTTCCCAATGACGAAGTCCCTGCCTGGAAAGACGACCAAGCACAATCAATCGGCACAACCAATATCACCAGCAAACACCACCCTTCTCTTTACAACCACTTGGGAATTTTCTCGGGCACCAGCCACTCCGTCAACCTTACTGGTGGTGTCGATGGCACTATTCTGACCTTCTACACGTCCGTGTCGCGCCTCCCTACATCATGGAGTCAGCCATACCTCACAGGTACCGAAAGTCAAAGTCTTGCCTACTCCACCGATGGTGGAATTACCTGGGAGCAATACGAGAACAACCCCATTCTCTCCGATCCCCCCGCCGACTGGAACATCACGGGCTGGCGTGATCCCTTCTTCGAGCCTTGGCCACAGATGGACGCGTTCCTCAACCTGTCCGAGCCTCACTGGTATGCGGTCCTCGGCTCCGGTATCAAGGAGGTTGGTCCTCGGATGCCTCTATACCGTGCCCCGGCTTCGGACCTTACCAACTGGACATTCTTGGGCGCTCTCTGGGAACCGGAGAAGAACAGCACCCTGGGCTCGCTCGAGGAGACTGGTTCCTACGGGTTCAATTTCGAGCTGTCGAACTTCTTCTCGATTGGTGATCGGTACTTTGTCAGTATGGGTGCCGAAGGAGGCAATGTCAGTTTCCATCAGCAGAGGTGGTCTCTGTGGAATGAGGGAACTTTATCCGTGAGGGCGAATGGAAGCGTTGCTTTCGAACCCGTTGCTGGCGGTGCAAGTGATTGGGGTCTGCTGTACGCGGTAAGTACTGATCTGTTGAAGTATCATCGAAAGGCTCTCTTTGAAGAAAGATCCACTGACATGGCCTCAGTTGACCACTTTCAACGATACCAAGAAGAACCGCCGAATCCAATGGGGCTGGGCTCCAGAGGACATGAACAGCTATGCCATCACGCAGCAAGGCTATCAAGGATCCCTCGCATTACCTCGGGAAATCTTCATCAAAGACACCCCCAACGTGATCCACAGTCTCACCAACAGCACGGCTCCGGGCAACGCACGCTACTTTGCCAACTCAAATGGCACCTGGACAGCCAGCACCCTCGGTGTCCGCCCAGCACCGGACGTTGTCAAGGGCCTCCGTCACGGATCTAACCATACCCGCTACCCATGCCACAAAAACAAATGCGACACCAAAAAGATCACCCTACCCATCAAGCTCTCCAAGTCATACCAGCTAGACGTGGACATCAAGCAAACCACCGGAATCGCAGGAGTGACCATCGCCGCCTCTCCCGACCGCGAAGAATACACAAACATCTTCTTCAACCCGTCCAACAACAGCATCGCCGTCGACCGCAGCCACTCCTCCCTCATCGCTGAGTTCGCCAACTCCACGCACGAGGGTTACTTCAAGCCGTACACCCTGCGAGGCAAGAACGGGAAGAATACCACCGAGTCCATCCAGATGAGCATCTTCGTCGACGGTTCTCTAGTCGAGGTGTACGTCAACGAGCGTTTCGCTCTGACGACTCGTATCTATCCCAGTCGTGAGGATAGTACCGGAATCGCGCTGTACTCGGCTGCGGATGCGAAGGTGGAATACTCCAGGGTCGAGATCTGGGATGGTCTGTTGAATGTGTGGCCGGAAAGGCCGGAGAATAGCAGCTCGCTTCTTGTATGGGATACTGCGGCTGAGACGGGGGATTACGTCTGGTGGACAGGAAACTGAGACAGGATGTGTGAGGGGGGGACGGTGAGGAGCTTGTGTAACATTGTTTGTCAATGGATCAGGATAGAAAAACTCGAGAATTTCAAAAACAATTTTCAACAACAAAACAATATCTACTTCCATGAATTGAACCCTTGACCTCTGTCTGCCATACAAACTTGTGTCGTGGTCACGATGAACCTCATCCAAATGCTTACAGTCTTCAAATCCTTTTTCTACCCCAGCCACCAACGCTTATAGATTTTATTAAAAGGGTCTATAATTCTCTCCCAGCTAATCTGATTCTAAAGGTGTAAATATCATATCAAAAAAGCAGGAAATGATGTTGTGGCAGGACAATATGAAACCCCACGAGCATAAAAAGAAAGACCCCCCACACCGGACCTACCGCGGGGTGTGTACACTCGACCTCGGATTATGCGTGTCAGGCTCTCCTCAGTTCCAGGCCATGACCGCTAAGCCAACAGAGCGCGGGGTTGGAATTTTTGAGGGAGAAGGAAATGATAACCCCTCTTGCGGATACATTCTGGGCCGCATTTCCGCTTTGAATGCCTTGTCCTTGGGAGTCGGATTAATGCCTAGCCATGGAATAGATTGAGATATATGTCCTACCATTTCCTCTACAAGAATAGCTTTAGAAAGGTGAGTAATGAGATATTCTGTTGAAATTTCGTACTTGATAGCGTGCAAGCAGACAAATACGCAAGTTTTGCGTGAAGGTAAAGGCATCGCCAAACCCAAGCTCTATATGTGGAACCGGACACGGACAAGACAACACGCCACCGCTGACAGTCATATCCAGAGCACACACTGTAAATAGAGAAACCAGATTACAAACTTAAACACGATGGCCTAAGGTAGAAATGAAAATCCACATAAAATCTGGAATAGATTATCAAAAAAACAAAAGAGAATGAAAGTCCGCACAAGACAAGCCAGTAGGCCATAGCCCGATCAAAGAAAAAAAAGGCCCATGCAAGCAGGCAATCAGAATGTAAGTATCATCAATGACTCAACAAGAAACTCCCATAGAACTCCAACCAAAACCTAATTAATGAGAACGCCTGGAAAAGCAAGGGGTAGATATGTAAACTCCGAATTTCCAGACCCAGTTCTTAGAATGATATCCTGAATAAACCCATCGCGATGACAAAAAGGACCAGTAAAAAGGGAAATGAAAGAAAGTATGAAAGAGACAGAAGCCAAATTCCGGCTATCATCACCATCAGCCACGTCTTCGCCTGAGTCCAAACTCCTCTTCTTGGAGCTCGCGGATCAGGCGGAGACTCTCGGCATCGGCGTCATCCTCGATGCGATGCTTGGCATGTTTGGATTGGTGGGGAGACAAGGAAGTGGTGGCATGCCGGTCAAAGCGTTTCTCGACCATTGGAGAGCTCTTCTTGGCATGGGATGAAGAAGGGCGGGAGGACGGTTTCCTAGCCGAGGATGAGGGGCCAGGAGTAGTCCGGCGAGCGGTGGATGACATTGCGGGTTTCGAGGCACGAGGGGCGGCAGCTTCTGTGATAAACCGCTCGATATGTCGAGGTTGGCGGGATGAATGGCGGGAGCTGGAGTTTGGTGTGTGAAGGGCAGTAGTTACCTCGCCCTCCACTGATGCGAGCAGTTCGCCGTCGTGCACCGCGTCCATTTCGTCGGCCAGCGACGTGGGTGGTGACACCAATGATGTGGTAGGTTTGGAAGAGACGGACAAGGAACTTGCATCTTTGAGGTCGACCGAATCGACATGGAGGACTGGAGGCGATGCATACAAGGCTTGGCCGACGGTCACCACCTCGGTGATGTTGCTGGGCTGGGTTTGAACGTGGCCTACAGCATCATACGCGGCAACGCCAGCGCCAGGCACATCATGCGAGACTGCAGTAGCGGCATACCCCTCGAAATTCATAGGATGCGTGATTGGAGACGCGCTCTCTTGCTTGGTCTTCTTGGCTGGTGTAGGAGCAGCCTCGTCCTCGTTGGGTCGAGGTCGCTTTGAAGAGGCCGTTCCACGGGGCTTGGAGCGTTCTTGAGCCTTGATCGGATCAACCCTACCGTACTCGTCATGAATGCAACGACGCTGTTAACAAGAAAAGTTAGTATAAGCATTATGGAGTACGGAACGGTTCATTCAGGATACTGACCTTGCTCTTCCGGCAATCATCACACGCCTTGCTTCGTCCCTTCTTTCCACCATTGACTCCATCGGGGCTCAAGTCATTGAGGCGATTGGCAGCAGCCGTTGACGTGCTCATGACTGCGGAGTGGAACTTGCCCGAGCCATCGAATCGATCAAAGCCAACCACACCGTTGCTCTGGAATCCAGCCTGAGAAGCAATAGCCGCCAGTGAGTTCAACGCAGTAACGGCGTCCTGCGCCAGAGAGGACGGAGTGCTCAACCCTGATACAGGACCAAAACCATTCATGCCTAACTGTCCACCCAGTATGCCCAAGTCATTCGGCTCATCCTTGTGACGACAACGAATACGACGTCGACGACATGCATCACAGGCCACGCGCTTGGGCCCCAAGCCAGATCCGCGCGGAGCAGGTCGCGGTTTTGACGCGGATGTCGACTCTCGAGCGACAAATTCGGGAAGGAAAGCAGCCGGTACCGGTGTGGCACTCTCAGTTGGCGGGTAAACTAGGGGGGGGTTGTTGACTGGAGGGGCAGGTGGTGTAGCAACTTCATCCAATGGGCGCTGTACTGCTTGTCTTTCGGCATAGGTGCGCTGGCTATCGACATTACGTTCGGATCGTCGGCTCGGACGCCCAGCAGACTTCTTCTCATTGAGAGAAACCTTGGGATTCGATTCAATGGCGCCCGGATGAGTCCATTGCGGTGCCTTCTCGTTGCCGCGCTTCCACGCAACCCAAATACCAAACTTCCTGATCATGTCCACGGGGTCACCCACGCCTTTCGGAATGGACCGTCGGACTGCATTGCGAGTATCCACGGTGACGCCCTCCACATTATACGAGCTGGCGATGAGTGCTGTCCGTAAGAGATACTTAGTCAGTTCGGGCAGTCCCTCCAGCTCGGCCTGAGAGTAAAATCGAGCGTTGAAGTATGGTGACCCTGCAGGCTCTTGATTGGCAAGTTCCCCAAACTCATAGTAAATAGGGTAATGCCGGTGGAATCGATAGTTGTCATCCTGCGCAAATGCATCCATGACATTCGCGGGAAGAGGATCATCCTCCAAATAGCGCAAAGCCGTGTACCATTGAATCTTTTGGAAGAAAGGATAGCGGAACTTCTTGGGCACTTTTGTTTCCTTCTCAATGTTGAGCACCTTTATTTGCATGCCATAGTTGAGTCTGGTCAGGAAGTTGCCACCGATCACCAGGCTGTTCTCCGGGGTCCAGACGGCATGGATCCAGCCCGATGGGATCAACATAGTATCTCCCTCTGACAGATCCACGCGATAGCATTCCTTTGTCTGATTCCCGAGAAATATCGAATCCTGCGCAGGAGAGTTGCACCACTCCTCGTATTTCTTGAGATGCTTGTCCTTTGGAGGGATGAAAAAAAATGTCTTCTTCCCCTTGAGGATGTGATAGTACACCGAAGAGCCACCAAAGTCGATGTGGAAATCGGTATAACAGTCGGCCACGGACATGAGGCAATAGAACTGAACCTTGGGGTAATCGCCAATGGCCTTGAGCTCTTCGGGCCAAACTGCGTCCTGAAGGTCGAGATCACGCACGACCTTGGGTCGCTTGATGAGCCTGCCTAGTTTGCTTTGCGAGACCTCAAGACTGATGACATTCCGCACTGGCTTGTCAGGCTCGTTGCTCTCGTAGTAATCGGCCCACTTCTGCATGTTCCACCTCTTTTCCTCTCCTTGTTGTGACTTGACATCGATTACTTCGACTCGTTCTTCGGGGCCGTAGAGCTCAGCCACAGCACGAACGGTCAGCCCTTGCGGAATAACCATATCCAGCTGATCCTGTCCACAGTCAACTGTTTCCCGAAGGCGCGTCTCGTGTTCGTCGAGGTGCTCAAGCAAGTCGTCGAACATTTCCTGAGTGGAGGCTTCTTTTACGAGAGACTCAAAGTCTGCGTCCACCTCCGGAACAGGCTCCCGAGTATTCCAAGCAGCAGGTATCACGACTGGTTCCGTCCACCCATTTCCCCGTTCGAAGTATTCGGCCGTGACGAGCTCTGGCTTCATTCTGGGGAAGTTTTCGGGGAGGAACCGAATTTTGCCTTGGCGGATGGGCTCGAGGTAATGGTGCTCCATCGTATCCGAAGCAGCCTTCACCACACCCTGGTTGAGACCAGCATAGTCAATTGCGGTCCGAGCCCGGGAGGACTTGCGCACAAAGGTTGTTTGCCCATGGACAGATCGGCAGTTGCGACAGATAAACTTATCGACAGTGCGGACTTCTCGATCGTTTTTGAACCCGGCACAGACGATGTGGAACCAGCGCTTGCATCCATCGCAGCCAATCCACGTATCTTCTTCTTGCTGTTCTTCTGGTTCCATTGGAATCCGCACCATATGACAAGCGGCACAGCTTGCCTGATTTGAATCACTCGGGTCATCCTCTTCTTCGACTTTGGGTGTCACGTCCATTGTTTGATGGGAACTATGGGCGTCCTGCTGAGGGCCAATGGATTTGTATTCTCCGTACCCGGCGTAACGGGACACCTCCGTCGACGAAGCGCCGTCTTCGTTGTCTTCTTCCCAAACGATGGAGGGTAGCGTACCGGCGCTCGTGGTGGGCCGCACGCCACGGATAGCCGGGCGCGAGATAAACGCCGATCCATCGGAACGCGACCTCATACGTGACTGCGGAATGTGATCCTCCGTCGGGTGATATGCGAACTTCGTATCCTCTGAGTGGCCACCGTGCTCGAGATAGGAAAATCCGACTCGATTGTGTCGAATCGAGTCACCTCCGTAGAGATTGTTGTGGTGGTGATAGGTTTCGTCGATACTGACTCGTTTCGTGTGGTGGCCGCTGGGCTGGAAGGTCGTCGGTCGGGCAAAGTTGAGCAAGAGCTCTGCATCCGTTTTCATGCTATCTAAAGTCGATGGCTGAGGATTGTTGACCGGTGGTATCGCTCGGGAGGAGGAGGAAGAATGGTACGGTGATGGATCTCGCTCGGATCGAGGCCGTTTCGCAGGTCGTTCGGCATTTTGAGGCTCGGGAGGAAATAAGGGGAAAGCGGATCGAGAATTAGGAGAGGATGGGCGAGGTGGGAGAGGCGCGAAGGTAGGGCTTGTTGCGAGGGCAATCGTCGCAAGCGTGTCGATAGTCGAATTTGACCGGCCATGACCCGACCGGTGATGAGATCCAGCATCCGCCGGGGGAATCCGGGCATGATTTGACGGGCGTTGATCGTGATCGAGGCTGGCAGCCCGAGCAATACCGCGCTCGGCGCAGGATGTTCGAAAATCAGCGGTCGACGGTGTGATGGGCTCGACGGCGCGTCGCGGAGGTGACGGAGTTCGGTATTGCGGAGGACGCTCGCCCAGAGGCATCATGAAAGATGCTGCACTCATCATCTTTGGCAGATTCCGACGAGCGTCGGGCGCGGAAATGGTTTGGAGGGAAAAAGTCGAAGGTACGACGACGAAATGCGACTATGCGGCGAAGTGGGTGCAAAGCGGGGATGTTGGACCACACGGACTAGCGAGAGGCCGTCGCAGAGGAAAGGAGTGTCATTCCTGGTGGCAGAACGTGCGCACGCAGGGCCGTGAGATGAGCGGCGATGCTGGAGAGACGATTGAGGACGGGCGGAGGAGATGGCCGACGAGGAAGGCGAGGTCAGTCGCGGCGGAGCGAGTTGAGGGGGTTTTGAGCGTCGAGGCGGCGGGTCGACAAAGGCGCCGAGGGAGTCGCGCCGCAACCCGCGGAGGAGGAAAGAGATCGGATCGAATGCAATCCAGTCAGCAGGAGTCGAATCCTGCAAACTGGATGACGGACGAGGGGTATGCGAATGGATGGAAGCGTTTCCGGGTGGTTTGGGAGGAGCGAGGAGGGGAGGATGGAGCGCGGTAGACGAAGGAGGGCGGAGGGTAGGTTGGTCGAGAGCCTATTCGCAAGGTATGTACTCGGAACCAGCTGTTGCAGCCGGAGAGAGTGTCCTGGTGCCTTTGGCCCCCTTTCAGATCGATATGATTCCGATACGAGAGTGAACTGCGTCTCGCGACTGGATTGTGTCTGAGGAGAGAGAAGAGAGCCCGTCGCCCCGAGCTTCAACTTGCGACGAGACCGTCTTCGCCGAGCTGCCTCGCTGATACCGTTCGATACCAATTGTAACCGCAAGATCAAGAAAGTTGCGTGTAGATCTAGCGGTTAGAAGTGACGGCACGTGCTGTATCGTTGTCACGTATGGTTATGGCAAGCAGAGCGCTTACGGCATCTGCCTAGCCTAAGGCAGACGCTAGTCCACAAATGGAAATGCCAAGCCCACCTCGTGCTTCTCTCTGCGTGTCTCTCTTCGTCTTGCGCTGCTCGTCTTTGAAACCACCACTCGCCCTCGATACCCCAGGTATCCAAACACTTTTCTTCGACACTTTGTTCAACCGTTTACTGGACCTCCTTTGTCCTAAGAATGAGCCGGAAGCTCGCCCCCGAAGCAAATCGGTATGTGCCTATTTTCTTTCTCTTGCCCCTCCCGCAGTCGGTCTCCGCCCATCGATCATCGCCCATCACCAACAGGGAAGACGATAGCTCTCTTGCCTCGCTTATGCCGTTTGTGGCTCATCGGTTTGGTTAACAGCTTTTTTCTTTCTATAGGATTCTCTTCGTCAAGAACCTCAGGTACGCATACTCGTCCTCCGCGCGCCCGCCGTCAACCGGAACTTTTGCCCACGTCTCTCCCGCTACCACGACCCCACGATCACTGCAAAACCGACCAGCGGAATACTAATGCCTTCTTCAACAGCTACAACGTAACAGCGGAGCAACTTTTTGACTTGTTCGGGAAATTCGGGCCTATTCGGTGAGCTTTGCGTGGTCCTTACATCGCGGTATCCCATTCCTCCGCTAATGTGTCGCTTTTTCCCCCTTTGCAGCCAAATCCGTCAAGGCATTGCCAACAACTCCAAAGGCACAGCATTCGTGGTCTACGAGGACGTACACGACGCGAAGCAGGCATGCGATAAGCTCAATGGCTTCAACTTCCAGAGCAGATACTTGGTCGGTATGTGTGATTTTCCGGATCAGCGGCAACGCGCGCATCACTGGGGATCAGAAAAACCCTGAAACTGACACATGCGATTTAGTATTATACCACCAGCCAGAAAAGATGGCCCGCTCAAAGGAGGATATCCAAGAAAGACAGGAAAATCTAGAACGACTTAAACAGCAGCATGGGATAGAGTGAGGTGATGGTTGATTTCAACTCTAATGATGCCCTCTGCAAGCATTTAGCTGTGCATGGTGTTGCAACGGATCTCCTGTTATGTTGATTCTGGGATGGCTTGAGGGGTTAGCGGCGTTCTTTGTTTTCTTTTTTTGATTCCTTCGGGATAATGCTGTTTTCTTGACGACTCTTTCTGGAAGGGTGGAATGGCTCGATGGGTCAAATCTCAGTATCGATTATCGTGTGGGGGAATTTCGCTCGAAGCTTATGCCGAGTGGAAGATTTTATCTTTCCATGTTGATGTTTTGATTTTCACCTTCTACTTCGTGATCAATACGAAATCCCACTTTGCTCAGCAAGAAACTCTGTTGTAAGAGATCTGCCTTTTCAGATCAGGCTCCATCCCCTCTTGTAGAGCTCTCATCATAGCAAAGATTCTAGCAGTATCAGTTCGACGTCGCCGCTGGTTTCATTCCGTTCACGATATCTACGTCTGGAAACACTCATGTGGGCAGGTAGTAGGTCGTGCTCCCAATATATATTTCGTGCCTCGACCTCGGAGTAGCAGGCCATCAAATGATCTAAACTATCAAGTAAGCGCAATGAGAAAACCCATCAAGGAAGCTCTCGTTCCCAAACCCTCAAAACACAACCTGGAACTACAGGGTCTCACCCATAAGGCTGAGACTGCGTCACTGAAGGAGCAGGTCCCCACTCGGCGCAGCTGCATAGGGACGGGTCTCTGGCCTTGGCAGAGTGCTATCAATATTCTCCCATATCCGTACCACATGAACCAGAAACACATTCATGGATGGACAATATAGGTAGACGAAGTCAATCCCATATTCTGCCACTTGATGTCCAAAGATTAGTTCCGTGTCCTGCACGTGCCTCTTCTTGACAGCCAGAGCCACGCAGAGCCAAGGATTAGCCGCGCCGATCCCCTTTGCGGCATTGCGGGGAGCACCAAGTTCGGACACCGCCTTTAGGCAGAGCTCACTTCCAAGTTTCGGCGTCACTGCATCACTGCCTTCTTCTTCTAGCCACGCTGGTCGTGTTCTAAGCTTTGTTACTTTCGAACATCGGGTACCTGCGACGAATACGAAATACTTTGTTCTTGATCACCTGCCCATGACGCCCTGTCTCGGCACTGAATAGGCCCGTCCGGTCCCCCCGCGTCATTCCAGCCTCCGAACGTTACACTGCCACAACCCCATCATAGCGCAGGGCGCTTCTCGTCTTTTCCAAGGCGAAACTGAATATTTAGCTGGCCTGGCTTCTTCTCAAGTAGCTATGGATGCTACTACAACCGCTCTATCGCTGGCCGCAACAGCGGTCTCTACTTTGATCGCTGCGACTTCTCTGCCCGGTCCGGTATCATCTCTAGGCACCTCCGCATCGCCGTTGCCCTCATCATCCATGGTGTACTACCATGGAGATCCCTCATCGGGTCAGGATCCAAACGGTGAAGATGATGGCGAGTGTAAACTCCTCGGACCTTTTTCTCTGCTCGTCCAGGCCGCTTTGGGAGCATTGGCGCTGCTATCATTGGTGTACAAGCGATGGAGGGAACGGCCACAGCGGCCACTGAAAGTGTGGGCGTTTGATGCGTCGAAACAAGTATTTGGATCGGGGATGCTTCATCTAGCAAATCTTTTGATGTCCATGTTCTCGGCGGGCCAGTTGGAGATTCGAACGACGTACAAGCCGAACCCTTGCTCTTTCTACTTGCTGAATCTGGGAATCGATGTGAGTGAACCAAATTTTGCCCTTACTTCTCCATAACGAAAGACGCTGACCGAGCCTTTTTAAACAGACAACTCTCGGTATCCCCATTCTGATCTTAATCCTCCGCATCCTGAACCGCCTAGCCTCCTACACACCCCTCGCCAACCCACCCGAATCGATCGAATCAGGAAACTACGGCCAACCGCCGCGAGCCCTATGGTGGCTCAAGCAGTCAATGATTTACTTCATCGGCCTTCTCGGCATGAAGGTCTGCGTGTTCATCCTGATATCGTTATTCCCCTTCATCGTGAAGGTCGGCGACTGGGCCCTGGGCTGGACCGAAGGAAATACTGCATACCAGATTGCCTTTGTCATGCTCCTATTCCCCGTCATCATGAACGCCATCCAGTACTACATCATCGATCATTTCATCAAGAAACCTCTCTCATACGACCTTTACACCGAACCCGACACGATGGAGGACGAGGAGGATATCCACCGGCGAGAAGCTCTGTTGGGTGGGCTGGACGAAGCTTACTCCACTGACTCTGACGACGAAGGAACAATCGGAAAGCCGTCAGTCACAGTGTCTCAACCAAAGGCTACTGCAAATGCCCTTCACGATGCAGAGGACGTCCTCACGGACGATTTCTCCCCGGTTCCACCCTATGAGCCGCCGAGCTCGAGCTCTAGTAGCGGCCGCAACGAACGCGATCGTGAACAGAAACGCGATTTGTGAAGTCTTCGAAGAGAAAAATTGCAACAAGATACGACCTGAATACGAGCAAAGTCATGTTTATGGGCGTTGGAAATTGGTTTCTTTACTCGGATTGTTACTCGGATGCCTCGGATTGTTGCTTTTGGGCTTTTCTATGATTCATGTGTATACGAACATATGCTACCAACAAATTACGGGTTCTCCTCTTTTAAAAGGCCCAAATTCATAAAATAATAAGAAGAATGCGGATTCCCATCCACAATCGCCAAAAACCCCGTATTCTCAGCACTGTTCGCACTACCATGATCCGCAGCCGCGTGCCTTTCCTCCCACCGATCCCGTTCCCCGGACTGCGCCCGAACACCCCAGATTCAAACCCGCTCGGCCCTTATTCGGGCCTCGAGATAGGAGCACGCAAAATGCACCGACCCCGCGAGAGCTCAGCTTTGCCGATCCGGACTATTAATTCGCATGATCCCCAAGGGTTTATCAATGATTCACTTGATATTGCTTAGTAGCTTTGCGCAAATTATCTGCAATAACAAAATACCGAGATAGGATTGCGTAATGAAGTATGATCCAGTGGAGCTGAGAGAAATTCCCGCAGGAATTCCTTGTACTGCATGGCTAACTTCAAGATTCAAAAGCAGTATCGACTGTACTGGTAAGGATTGATTTATAGGCAGTTTCCGAAAGTCGCGGTTTCGCATTAATTGACCTAACTGGGACTAGTGTATTATGCAATGCGGCTAAGGCTAGACGAATCGCCAAGGCTATTATTCCATGTGCGATGTGTGGTGAACCATATAGACCATATGTGCGGCCTCTTTCAGGATGGGTCGTGATAATTTTCTAGCTGGTTGTCATCTGATATTATTTCCCTGTTGAATCCTAAATTGGAGTCATTCAATGTACGGAGGCGCATCTATACAGCTGTAGTATAATGCAATGAACGCAAAAACCCTATCAAGTCAACCGGTGGAGTCTTTCCTCATGTTGAGCGGACCGCTAAATAGATCAATAAGTCGCAGCACTTCTCCAAAAGAGGCATCTATTTGGAGAGATGTGGGGGAGCAATCGAGACGTAGGAAATGATTCCGCGACTGTCCCGATGCATAAATATACCAAAAAAAGTCAACATGATCAATAGGTATTCTTCAAATTTGTTTGTGACAATTTGAATATTGCTCTGGCTATAATTGAACTTTCAAGAGCGTCACCAGATTCGCAATGGCGATATGCGAAGACAACAAATCTTCAGAGAGGCTCAAATCTTATCAAGTCTCCCACACTATTTCTTCGTCGCACGAAAACGACCTAAACATGCTTTCTTGGGACAGTGACGATGATCCCAAAAATCCTTACGACTGGCCTGCCTCACGAAAATGGACCTTGACTTGCCTCGCCGCATTTGCCACGTTCCTGGCGATGATGAACGGGACAATTCCTACTGTCGCCCACTTGCAGATCTCAGAGGCCTTCAACATAAACGAAACCTCGTTCCCACATTCTTACTGGATGGTGACAACATGGGCCCTCGGCGGCGCATGCTCTGCTCTCTTCATTCTCCCTCTCGCTGAGGATTTCGGAACCAGGCCAGTCTTTCTCTCGACATACCTGATCTTCCTCTGCTTTCTGGTGCCGCAAGCTGTCGCCCAAAATTTCGCTACATTAGTGGTCACCCGCTTTTTTTCGGGTGGCTGTGCAGCTATTTTGGCCAATACGGCTGCTGGGGTAACTGGAAATGTCTGGAGCACCGAATGGTCCAGATCAGTCCCCGTCAGCTTGTATATCTTGGGCTACATGGCTGGGAGCAGTATGGGTCCAGTCATGGGAGCTGCAATCTTCCAAGCTTTGGGATGGAGATGGATAGGCTATATGCAGCTTATCTGGTTTGGAGCATTGTTCCCCATCTACTACTTCCTCTTCCGAGAGACACGGGGAAGCGTCATCCTCTTGAAGCGGGGGAAAGATACGACTAAAGGAGATGTATTTGTCCATGCAGAAACACTGAGTTTACAGAATCTTACTGCTAGTGCAACAAGGCCAGTGATACTATTCTGCACTGAGCCGGTGCTGTTCGTGTCAACACTATGGTCCGCCTTCACCGTTGGAACGCTATTTCTATTCACGCAATCAGTCGAGCAAGTGTTTATGGAATTATACGATTGGAACATCGCCCAGACCGGGTACGTCCAGTGTGCGATTGTGATCGGCGAGTGTATAGGATGGTCTCTGAATTTCCTATCTCGAAAGCTCTACTTTACATCTGCTTCACGAAATACCGAAGTCCCTGGGGCTCCGATCCCAGAGGCTAGACTATATATGGCCGTTTTAGGGGGAGTTTGCGGTATCTCCGGCGGCATGTTTACGTACGCTTGGACTTCCTATCCTCATATCCCGTGGATCGCCCCTGCCATCAGTTTAACCATGGTCGGAGCTGGCAGTGTACTCGTCGTCTGTGGTGTAACAGATTATGTGGTTGACGCATACAGTCACTACGCCGGGAGCGCCATGGGGGCTGTTGGCACCGGAGAAAATGTTTTCTCTGCCCTCTTGCCCCTGGCAACATTCAGCATGTACAGCAATCTCGGACTCAATTGGGCAAGCACATTGCTTGCTTTCATCTCCCTAGCACTTTCGCTCGTCCCGACGCTTATGTTTGTTTGGGGCAAACAGGTTCGGGCTCGAAGCACATTCATGAGCAAGGTGACAGATACTGGCTCTAACAAGAGCAATGATATGGTATAGATCGGTTGAGAAGGCGGATGTCGAGTTTATGCCGATAGGATGGAACTGCATATTCCATGACAATGACTATAGAGAATAGACGATGATTCTAGAATACATTCAAACAATCAGGATAGGTCTGAAAAAAATTTATCTTCTTTTATACGGGGAACAGAATTTGTCGCTTTCCACATATCATATCTTGCTCCGAGAGGCCATGATGAGCCGGCGATCTATCTTATAGCTGTCTCTATGGCCCGAGAACTTTTAATACTGTATTCATCATCACTATTTGTAATCTCCAGTGATCGCCTCTTGAGACAAAAATCAATCTAATGAAAGCTTAAAAATGGTATTCCACTCTCAAATGGACTTGTGAGATAGACGAATGGTCCCTTCATTGAGGGGGTATACATTGATCGCCAATGGGTAAATCAAATAACTTTCAACGTTTATAACCCCGCCACGGCAGAGTTCGTCAGAACGTGGCCCGAATCGAACAGAAGATATCAACGCGCACTGTCCAGGCTGCATCAAGAGCTTCCCAACCATAGCGAGTCCAATCAGATCGGCAATGCGGGCGCATAAATATACTGACTGCTGTAGGTTTGGTGGCTAGGCTTGGTGGCGTTAAAAACTCCAGCCTGGGCCGTCGGGGCGGCAACTACGGCATTGATGGCGTTTTTAGAGTCAAGATGATCGTGACTGGTGCTATCAGCACTGTGTATATGTCTAGCTTGTGAATATTTGATTCGGCGGTTAGAAGGATGGGCTGGTAGATGCCTACACTCTGAAGAGTGGATATGACGCGTACTTTGGAAGAAAAGAAAGGAGCAATACAAATATTGCGACGGTCTAAGTCTTGAGGATGCCAGCCACTGTTCGCTTTATCAACGGAATTTCTGTCTAGCCAGTGATCATCTGGCCATGAAATGTGAAACCCAACAAACTGCCAAAGGAGAGTTCACAGACAAGTTTCGTATCCTCAAAGTGCTGAGCTCAGAGAAAGTGGAATATTTTTGAGCCACCTTGTCTATCATAATTGAGCACGAGATAAGCAACGACACTGAGAGAAAGCTACACGATAGCAAGCACAGGCATGGTATGATCAGGTTTTAAAAAAAGACACAGGATACTTTTCCAGACGTGCATATCAAAGATTATTGACGGAAAAATAGAAGGGACTGATAGACTTTGTCGTTAGGCTCTTGACCTATGGGATGGCGTTTGTTAGCAACAAGGGAGCTCAGAGGGTATCAAGTGGATAATCAACTATGCTTGGATGTCCCTGTGATTACCTGCATATCTTGATGCAATGAGCAGATTGTAACTACTTCCATTTAGGCAGTGCATATCGTTATTCATTTTATTTCAGAGCACACGGCAAACACTCAAGTGGAACACCTGTTTGTAAAGATACTGAGTAAAATAATTGAGCCAAGATAACATTAAGACCCCTGGACCCTCGCCGGAACGCATAACATAGTACGGTAGATGAGCCTCGTAAGAGCGAATTAACATCTCTTACGTTGAATAACTTAGCTTGGTAGAGACGGTTCTATTTATATCAGGCGGTTTTTGTATTTCACAGTAGAGCATGATATGCAATCCATTGAATTAGACCAGCAAATAGCGATTGTCGCAGCGGGTGTAATTTTTTACCCATGAGAATGTAGAGAATGATTACGGAAAGTAGACTTCAAGCACGTGAAAGAAGTTAACGGAGAAGCCGACGGCCGACCTTTCAGGGAAAGCTTAAATAGGGGCGGGGTATCAAAACTGTTTGTTCTAGAGGCACTCTATCACTCACTCGTATTTGACCTGCTGTGATAAAAAGAGCATTAGGAACGAGCTGACATGAGTGGCCACACTAATAGTTCTACGCAATAGTGTATATAATATGAGCAATCGTTAAAATTGGGTCAACTTGCCGAGTTTAACGCCGGGTTCAGTATCGACTGATAGATGTCATGCAGCGTTCATGCAGCGTCTAAACGAACTGCCAGCCACCGTATAATGTGGAAAGGTCGCAGAACAGGAACTCTTCTGATTGGACAGTACCTCGTTCTTCCACGAGGACCCCATAATCTGCCCAATGACCGTGGTCATCTAGAGTGGACCCCGCCCCTTAGTGCACGTCTTCCTGCCTCGGCTGACATTCGATGCTACCTTGCTGCCGCAGCTGATACAGTCTAGACAGGGGGGTCCTTCAAAGATAACAGACTTTCCTCGCAGGCGGCGGAAAACTGTCATGGCGAACCTCCCACGTGGGTGGCGGTGGTTCTAGAGATAGTTATTGTATGGAGACCTTCAAGCGCGAAGATGACAGCCAGAGATGTAGTGAGATTGATTCCTATTTAGGCATCTCGACGATCTGGTTCTTTGTGTTATGCATACTCTTTTCAACTTCGGGAGCTTAATTGATCAAAGAGCGAATCATTGTAACAGGGGTATCTCCACTCTCGAAGGGCGGCTCATCGGTAGTCCGTCGATGGCCCAAACTCCAAGCCCATATCGCAGAATCTGAAACTTCCCCCTCTCCATCTTCCCCTCTCAATTTTCCCCTCTCCATTTTTGCCTATTGAAAAGAGGATTTGCTGTTTTCTTGATGCTGCTGGCTGTCTTATCTCTATCTCATGGAGAGATGCGACGTCAATAGCCAGCGACGAGTGACGCTTCGTTCAGAGAGCTCACAGCAGCCATTCCAATAACTAATTTTGACACGAAGAGAGGAAAGGCACACACACAGACGTCATATCTTCAGAATGGGCTCAGCACTGCACCTCGCCGGCCCCAGTCTGGCCATTTTTATCGTTTCTGTTGTGATGATGATTCTTTCCATTGTTGCTGTCTCTCTGAGGACTTTCGTGCGACTCTGCATCGTTCGAGCCTTTGGTTGGGATGACGCCCTTATGCTGGCAGCGCTGGTAAACTTTTCCAATGAAGGCCAGTAAAGACCATTTGCTAATAATGTCACAGGCATTGTTCCTGTTATTGAACATATGCAGCTTCATCGGAGCCATCAAGGGGGTTGGCGGCACCGGGACTGATTTCAAAACTTACGAAGCCTATAGAACGGCATTGCTGGTGAGAAAAGCTTGTTTCGAAGACACTTGATAATTCTACAGTCTTCCGATTCTTTTGACAAAAGCTAACTAAATCGGTTGCTTCTAGTACTGGTGGCTCTGTCAGATCTTTTACACCTGGGCATCCGCACTGGCCAAAGTATCCATCGCTGTCGCCCTCCTTCGATTAACGATCAAGAAAATCCATCGAATCATCATTTGGGGCACTGTCGGCCTCACGCTTGCTATCAGCTTTATGTTCTGGCTAGTGCTACTTCTTAATTGCCACCCAGTCTCATACTTTTGGGAATATGCAGACCCTTCAAAGTCAGGAAGCTGCATGTCCAAAATTAACTTGATCAAAGTTGCATATGTTTACAGCTGTTTGACAATCCTATGCGACTTGACACTCGGAATCTTGCCGATGTTCCTCGTCTGGAAGCTGCAGATGAACTATCCGACAAAGATTGCAGTTGGCGGAATTCTCAGTATGGGCGCAATGTATGTGAAGATTTTGAAGAACTTTTTTTGCCCGTGTCGAAGTGCCTAATTTCTATGAAATAGTGCCAGCGTCGCGGTCATCGTCCGCATCCCGTTCCTCCACTTCTATGCTGATACAAACTTCATTCGTAAGTCTTTGGTGGAAGATGTCGATCGCCCTTGCTGGCGTATGAAATCTTGAAAGACACGTTCTAATCTTTTCTCAGACTCTACCTACCAAATAGCCATCTGGTCAGTCGTCGAAACAGGCCTTGGAATCACAGCAAGCAGTCTCTTCACTCTCCGTCCACTCTTCCGTTGGCTGCTCGATGAAAAGTTGTCCTACGGTCGAAGCCGAGGACGAGGCTATAACCATTACCCGCTCTCCAGCCTCAACAATGATGGGCTAAAGGAAACTCATCATCCGGGAACTTGGTATTCAGCCAACAGATCCGGGAACGAAGGCAAGGTGGTCACTCAAGTCACAATCCCACGATTGATGAATGATAACAGCAGCGAGGAGGATTTGTACCCTGAGCCAAATCCCATCACTTTGCGGAATCATGTCACGGTCTCAAGGACATTTGTACAGACTATTTCAGAAAGGCCGAGATAGTCTTGCGGCTGGGCATTAAAGCGTGGCTTCCATGAATTCACTATCTGATTGTTTACAAGACCCTAGTATGACATAACGGCTACCCCTCTTTAGACCCCTAGTGATTGATTTATGTGAGCATTGAAGAAAGGAGAGATTGGCAAAGTCCGCGCAGATAAATCATGAGCAAAGCTGCAGGTAACGGTCATGGCGGCAGGAGAGGTTTCGAGCTACCCCGTTAGAAGATCAGCCAATCCCTTTGTACTGAGGTGTAAGCCCGCGAACCCGGTGATGAAGCGTAAGGCGTTGACTATGTCTGCCTGAGGCGCGTCGCATACTTGATCCGCCTTTTCTACCGCCCCTTTCTGCCGGCGGTGCAAAAATCAAAGCGAAAAATATTCTGATCCCGCCGCAGACAGCTCCCGACGCCGATCGCCGCGGAGGAATCAATCTTGTGCTGAAATTTTCCAGATCGGTTCTGATCTCACAGCACAGCACCGCCACGATGTCCAGGGCTGGACTCAAGACCAAGACTAAGCGGGTCTCCGCTCAGTCACCATACGAGAACACCACTGCTCAAATCCACGCGGACGAGGACATTGAGATGGATGATGAGACGAGCTCGGACGAGGAGAGTGTTCCCGAGAAGGGTGAGGATGAGCTGAAGCTTGAGCGTATGCTTTTTGGAGATGATGATGGTTTTATGGGCGCATTGAAGGCTCAGCAGGAGCGGGAGGGTGCTATGCAGCTCACTTTGCACAGCGATGCGGAGAGCGCGAGCGCTGATGAAGAGGCGGATGATGAAACTGATTTGAATAATATGGCTGACGCCGATGTATGTGGCTTGTACACTTCAACTTTCTGCTGACAATCAAGCTAACTTTTGCCTCTCCAATCAGCTCTTCTTCCTCGACTCTGGCGATGTACAAACCACCGATCTCATGGAATCCCCCGAGACCCCCTCCGACGAGGAGGATGAAGAGGAATCTACCCCGGCAGTCTGGCACGACAGTGACGACGAGCGGATCGCGGTCTCTCTAGTCAGCCAATCTAAGCTGCGCAAATTGCGCAACACCGAATCCGAAGATATCATCAGTGGCACGGAATACATCCGACGACTGCGCCGGCAATTCCAGCGCATGAACCCCACCCCCGAGTGGGCGGACCCCGAGCTCGCTTCCAAGCGCCGCAAGACCGATTCCGACGACTCAGATGTGGATAGGGATGAGGAGATGGCGTCTGACGAGGACGAGGAATTGGCCGCGCAGCCGCTGGCCAAGCTTCTCCAAAATACCACGGAGCTCACTCGCATCGAGGACAATACCAAATCAGGTAGCAAGCGCAGGCTGCGCCAGGAAGTGGTTGACATTCAACGATTGAAGGACGTCGGCAAGACGCAACCGGTAAGAATAGGCTCGACCTTTGACAAAATGGATCATCCCGTTCTAACACATCTATACAGTCCTCCATCGACTCCCTCATGTTCCACCCACACTACCCACTCCTCCTCTCTTCCGGCCCAGCCTCCACCCTCTTCCTGCATCATATCTCACCCTCTGCACCCTCGCCAAACCCCCTTCTCACCTCTCTGCACATCAAGCACACACCCCTCCACACCTCAGCCTTCGCCCCTCCAAGCGGAAACCGAATCTTCGCCTCCGGCCGCCGCCGCTACTTCCACATCTGGGACTTGGACACTGGCAAAGTGGACAAAGTCAACGGCCCCGCAGACCGCAAGGAAGAGCAAAAGTCCATGGAGCGCTTCAAAGTATCTCCCTGTGGACGATACGTGGGTCTGGTCGGTACATCGCGCAAGGGCGGCGGTATGATCAACGTTCTAGACTCGGGCACGGCCCAATGGATTGCACAGGTGCGGGTTGACGGCCGCGGAGGTGTGGCTGATTTCGCATGGTGGTCGGACGGCGAGGGTATGACCGTTGCCAGTAAGAACGGTGAGGTGTCCGAGTGGGATGGCCGACAGCGCCGTATCATCGCGCGCTGGCTGGATGCCGGTGCCGTGGGCAACACCGTAATTGCCCTTGGTGGACGCAGTGGTCGGGACCAACTTGGTGGAGATCGCTGGGTGGCTATCGGCAGCACCACTGGTATTGTGAATATCTACGATCGCCGCGAATGGGCTGCGGCTGCGGCTGCCAAGGGCAATGCCGCAGCGCAGCATGACTCGGCGCAGGCGGGTGTTCCGCGAAGCCCGACTCCAGTCCGTGTATTTGACCAGCTTACCACACCGGTCAGCCATTTGGTCTTTGCACCGGATGGCCAGATGATGGTGATGGCTAGTCGGTGGAAGCGTGATGCACTGAGACTTGGTACGTATAGCAGAGCACATCCTCCACGACGCAGTTTTGTTGAACACCTCGCTAACTATATGACAGTACACCTCCCCTCCTGCACCGTCTACCGCAACTGGCCCACCTCCAACACGCCGCTGGGTCGTATCTCGTCCGTGGCTATCTCGCCCAACAACGAGCAGTTGGCCGTGGCTAACGAGCAGGGTCGTATCCGTCTGTTCGAGATTAGAGGGTAGATGTCTCGTGGTTTGGAGGTCTTTTTGTCCTGAATTTATATCCGGCGTCATTATGGATAGCATACTCAAGCTTTGTAGATAGCTTGCTTATATGGCATGGCCTCGCATGAATGTACCATTTACATCGCACTCTTTCAAAGCCCATTAGTAATTATCCAATCACGGAATGAAGTAACGTTCTGATAGGATCCAAGGCCGATAATGAGCAAGTGATGACTCGGTCGATGTAATCACCATAACCCACGACATGACTGGACTGGTGTTGACTACGAGAGCTATGCTACAAGTACGCGATGAACTCTAGACTACAACCGAATCCAAACCATAAAGTCCACCATACGACAGTAAACAAGCCATATTGTCTAAATCTTGTATTTGTATCCAATCCTCTTTCTTCCTCTCTGTTTAAGGGGGGCAAAAGAATCTAAATCGCAAATCTTAAAAAGAACCGAATCACGCCAAAACAAAACATGCAGAGGCCCGAAATCCCAAAGAAAGCAAAAGCGATACGCCAAAGGCCAATTCTCCAATGAAGGAACGAAGTAGTGCATGAAAGATTGATGAAATGAGTGTGTCGTGAGGGAATATGGTCATCTCTAGCGCTGTGTCCAAGGAAAGTAAGGACAGTCAAAATCACAGCCAAAGTCAAAGTCAAAGTCGGGTCATCATCTCTCATATCGTTGTAGGCCAAGACCGGGGCCGGGTAACAAAGGAATGTAAAGCAAAAAAAAACAAAGGAATGAAAACGCTTTCGTGGGCGCCAGGCCGGGGCAAGTCTATACTCTCGGTTTCTCTGCAGATGGGAGGAACGGCAACCAAAAAACAAGGAAAGCAAAAAGAAAAGAAAAACAAAACAAACAGGGGGTATGAAGGGTATATATCGGAGGAAATGAGTCAAGAAACAAAGTATAAGGTGACGTAGCCGATGTGGCTCTGGGACTCTCTGCACGAGGTCCAAGCCATAGAAGATGGGTACTCATCTAGGATAGAGAATCGGTGGAAAGGCCTGGTATAGAAAGAGCGTGGGATCGTGGTTTTTCAGGGCACATGGAGGTATCATCACTCTCCAACCCCAACCTCCGCCCACTTGGGTGCTCTCTTCGCCTCACCGATATAATCCCTGATAACACAAGTGTCCCGATCAGGCCCTTGACAAAGCTTCCGACGGTTCAAATGCTTGAACCTCGGTCCAATAGGCCCATTCACATAATGATACTGGCCTGCAAAGCGATACTGCCGAGTATCACCCAGCGGGTAGAATTTATCACCCCAGTGGCCCCGGAAATAGAACCACTCCGTTGGTGCGTCGGGAGTTAATGTTGACGAGCGGAGGTCGTCGGTTTCGTAGTCGTATGTATAGCCTTTAGTATTCAGGACGGGATCCCAGAGCGGGCCGCGGTCTGTAATGTCGTGGAGGAGGCCCCAGGGGAGGATGTATTCGTGGACGCCAGCGTGGGCGTACATCGCGTGGCTTCCTTCAGCGGAGTAAATGACCGGCTTTGGGAGTGTTAGTGTTTGATGGCAGGTGAAGAGATGTTGTCGTTTTGTGGCTTTTACTCACTCGTTGTCCAATTTTCTCGACGGCTTCGTACCGGTATGCCTCGCCGCCTGTATGCGCGCTGAAGAAGAGGGCTTTCGGCTGGCCATTGTGGAATCGCATCAGACAATGTTCCCAATCGCCAACGTGGTTTCCAAATCGCACGTTGACAACGGTATTCCCAAGGTTGAAGCTGTAAAAATAGAACCAAAAAGCGTCCACAATTCCGTTTCCTTTATCCATCACCAGCAAGACTGCAGGCGCGTCGCTGCGACCTCCAGCGCCCTGATTGCGACTCCCCTGAAGAGGTTCTTGCGTCGGAGGATGACCTCCATATCGCTTCCTCAATTCCTGCCTGAAGCGGCGATGTGCTTCCCTCGATTCACGGGCGAGCTGTTCCTGCTCGATGCGCTCTCGTCCTTCCTCGGTATACCGTCTCAAGTCATCCCACTCGGCGCCATCATCGTCACGCTCATCTGGAATTGCACCGTCGACTCGGCCATCCCAATCGGCCCACGGCTCTTCCAACGCATCACCATTGCCATCGTCGTCATCAGGGTTCCCAGGTACGCGGGGAATATTGTGCTCCCCTTCAAGCCATGGCGGGCGCGTAGTGGGGTCATCATCACTAGTCAAAAACACGTGCCGACCGCCCTCCCACTGATTCAACCCATTCAAATCTTCCAACGTGGGATGATCCCATTGAGCCTGGATGGGCGTATAATTGAGCGTAGGCGTAGTATGATATAAATGCTCCGCGATATCACCGGGCCAGAATTGTTCGCCGGAATAGAGATGCACGAGTGGGGCATAGTCGAAGACATAGTCGGGGATCTCCCGTCGCGCCCGCTCATCGGCATCCCACTCGGACTGATTGTTCTTATCGGCCCCGCTCGTCCAAAACGCCCGCCACGGCTTCTGCGCCAAATTCTCGTCCGTCAATTCGGACCAGCGTGTCGGATCGCGATGACCATAGTGTTTAGACACCATGCGAAAGTGTGTCGCGCCGCAGACTCCGAGCCAGCGGCATGCCTTGCGGTCGAACCATGACCCCGAGGTGGCCAGCCAGCTCGGCTCTTCCTTGTCCTCTTCGTACCAGACCCAGGCGTTGGGGCGGAAAGTCCGGGCTAGACTGTTGATAGAGACGTAGAGGATGAGAGAGGCGAGGGTTGCAATGGTGGCCTTGACCTTGCGCGTCATCTGCTGAAGCGCCTCGGTAGCGACTACCAATGTCGAGCCCGCCTCGTGATCAGCGGGAGCGGGCTGCTGCTGTTCATAGACCGCAAGGGTGGTTATCGCAAGGGATCCAGATGAGGCTGATTGGTCGTGTTCGGGGTTCGATTCAATGCAATGGTGAGCGAGAGGTACTTCTGTGGCTGGCGAGCATGCCGTAGAGAGAGGATCACTGTGATCTATAGTGGGACGAGACGCAACGAGAGGAAGTAGAGCACAGAACAGTAATCGCGGCAAGGGAGAGACTATAAAGACCGAGTCAGAGACACATGGTTCGATCAATCGTTAGTCTAGTGAACCGAGACTTCCGAGTCCAGCGATCTGTCCCGTGAGCAGGTTGAGTGGAGAGGGGAATAAAAAGAATACACCAAAAAAAAGCCAAACAGAATGACAAAAAGCGGCCAAAGTTAAAAAATGCAAGAATGGGGGAATCTCGAACAAGTCAGCGCGGGCGGCCGGGAACGTGCGGAAATGCATGGCAGCCAGAGCCAAGCCGGATGCGATCGCCCATAGGGTAGACGATTGTCACGGTACATTGTGGTCCTGTACTTCCTGTACAAATCGTAGGGTTGGATGGACTCCTGCAGGGGACCCGCGGCCTGACGCGATCAACGGAAGACTCGGATCACTTACCAATCCATGATGGTCGGGCCATGGTTGTGTTAGGTACTTGCGAGCACAGACAGAGGGGCCGAAGGGGGTATTGGGTATTCCTGATGCCTGCAGGACGAAAAGGAAGGAAGTGGAGTCGAGAGGAGGGGAAAGAGAATACAAGGGCCGATCTCGTAAGGCTGAGCAAGCCGGTCTACGGTGAACCCTGAGGATGAACCTTAAGGGTGCCAGATGAGGTACAGAGCGGTACGTAGACTGCGGTAGAGAAAGAAAGTAGTACTATAGAGTGTACTCTGGTATCTGGAAGGTATGCTTGTATGGAATTTTTTACTTTTGGCCGGTCTGGAGATTCTATACCAAGGTCAATGTCAACAAATAAATACAGGGAACCCGGCGAAATCCCGAGTATACTCCGCAATTCTTGAGGGCATTCGGAGTACTGAAGAATGGATACGCCGGCAGTTGGCCCCGCCGCTTTCGGCCCACTTCCTCGGCTCACCGCCCCGTTGTCACCGTCTTTCTCACCGCCTCGAATTGCCGTCCCTTCTTATCGCAATCACATCGTCTCCTAATCATCATCCCTCGCCAAAAAAAAATAATAAAAGCATCAGTCAAGATGGAACCACCCATGGATGCAGAAACGAATGAATGGGAGTACGAGTACCATGAGACTGAAACAGAGGTACACCGTTCTCTCTATCTGATACCATTTTCGTGGACTTCAAAGCTAACCGCCCTCCCTCTTCTAGTCCTTCTATTTAAACCTAGACCTCTCCTCCGTCCACGGACCCATCCGCCCACCACGCCGACGCCAGCAAGAAGACACCACCACCCACGCAGAAGAAGACGGATTGGTATCATCAATCCCACCAGAAGCCTCAGTTGAAAACACCACAACCACCGAAGCCTTCACGCCCCTCGAAACCACCGAACCAGAGGCTCTGGCCGACGAACGAATCCAGATCCTCGGTCTCCACACGTGCAATCCGATCGTCTCATACTGCGACCAACTCTTCAGCTGCACCTGGGCCGATCAAATAGGCACAGAACTGATCTTTGCCCACCCAGACGCTCACCCAGACATAAGCAACAGCACGGGCCAGCCCCTCCCTGCCCCACTCCTGCAGGGTCCCTCCTTCGAGCTTCTCGCCGCCAACAGTGTGAAGATCCTCGGCTGCAAGGCCAACATCACTTCCAGTGCTAGCTCTGGATTGGTTGGAGAGACGCATACAGCGGCCGTCACGGGTCCCACATCTGCAGATGAGACACAGGCTCCCGTGACTGCAAGCGTGCCCCGCCGTGCGGTCCAGCCTTCGCACCAGGCGAACTTCCTAGCGCGCTTGCAGAGTATCAAGGCGGCGAGGGGGGAGACGGATACGGTGCGGACGACATTCAATACGAGGCGTAATGTGAATATTGCGGATCGGTTGGGTGCGTGGGCTCGTACGGAGGCTCAGTTGGCGGAGATTCATGCGCTAAATGATCGCGCGCGTAAAGGAGATGCCGAGGCGATTTCAGCGCTGGAGCAGTTGATGTACGAGTTTGCGCAGCAGCAGCAGCAGCAGCAGCAAGAGCAGGAGGAGGAGGAGCCGTCATCGTTGCTCCCAATTGACCCTCAACTCATGTGAGAGACGAGCTCCGAGCTTGACAACGGGCTGAAAGCGATAAACTCTTTAGCCACGAAGGGCAAACCATACTGGAAGTCTCTCTAAATTGAATTCCGAACTAGTTAGTCGGCCCCAGCCATCGAGGGTACCCCGGGAATTTTGTTCAGCTATCGGGCCCTGCCGGCGTTGCTACAATCAGGCCAATGGAGCTCTCATCACGTGTGGTCGCGGGCCGAGCAACCGCACCATACTACTGAAGCAAGCGTGGCCAACCCTACCTTATCGCGCGTCTAGGGGGTTCTTGCATGGGACGAAAAGCTGGTAGCTTGTGATCGTGACTTTTTCTATGCTCGATCTGCTTTCGGTTGCTATCATTGGCCCCGATTTTCGCACCAGAAACACCTTGCACTCATGCACCCGGTCTTCCGAGCTATCCAGACCCCACACCCGGCAACCCCGGACTGACTAGCCCCCTTCAGCGATACCAAAAGCTAGTGATCATCCACACCATCGTGAGGATAACGTCATAGTCTATCCGGCATGTGCCGAACTGTCGCAATGATGTGACAATGACTAGGCTTCTATTCACCCCGCTAATTAAATCAATTTCATTGATATCCAGCCTTTGCCTAACCTGGACATCTACATTCGAATCTCACGTGCTCGCCTTCCTTCAACTATCATCAGCACACAACCCTTTGAAACCCTGACCGTCGATCTAATCTAGTGTGGTAGGATATGGCTGTATTTCTGGGACGAAGATGACGTCGTGATCTGCGGGTGTGATGCTCCTTTCGAGGCTTATGATGTGGGATGTACATCGGAAGACTGGGTATCGTGGTCCTATGCATGATCGAATCACAAAACCTGTTGATACAGTCTTCCGAGTCGTAGATGGAGACATTGACAGTCCTCTCTTCCCCAGGCTCACAACGCTTGTAGCCCTTGGTCTTGATTTTAGCTTATTTGGACCATGCTATTCACACCATAGCCTCAATCCATTGTTCAACTATCAACTTCCTTTATCTTTCCAATACTCCTCTAGTAATCGAACACATGCATCCCAGATCCGCCTCCGATTAACCAATCCCAACCACGCACCCGCTTCCACCCCCAATCCAAACCTCTGCGCCGTATTCCTTTCCAGATGAAAGAAAAGCCTTCTATAATTAACCTCAACAATTCTCTTTCCCTGCTTCGCATCCTCACCCGTACTAGCCCCCTGCTTCTCACTACCGCCATCAACAGGACCATTACCCTCAATACCCCTCCACACCTCCCAAGCCCAAGGAACCCTCTCCAAACAAAGGAATTTCCAGAAAGACTCATTCTTCGTAGCGAAGTACGCCGTGGCCGACGCCGTGAGGAACGCTCCCAGTGCATCTGCGGGAAGATATCCGCATATAAGATGCAGGATTTCGATAGGGAGGGACTGGAATGGATCGACTGTTGCTCTTTCGCTTATTTTTGGTCGGGTGAGTAGCCTTGAATTTGGGGTGCTTGGTGATTTGTAGTTCAAGTCCAGAGCATCAAGAGAGAATTGTAGGGGGTTGATTACGGAGTACTTTACAGATATGAAGGACGGGTGTTAATGGGGGTTTGAAAGAGATTTGAAATGGCAGGGAGGAAGGGAGAAAGGTGGTGGGGGGAGGAGATTTTACCTCTTCGCCCGGTATACACTCCCAACATTGATCCACGCCGGATATACCACCGTAGTCTAGATTTAGATTTGTGAGGCCACCTATTCGTGTGGCTGTTTTGTAGAGGGTGTTTAGATCGAGGCTGGATGTATTTAGTAAGTGGAATGCCATCCTTGGGTATATTGTGTGATAATGGAGGAACGGACCTGTAGTATGCTTAGCAGATGAATATCATACGAGATGTCGTGGACGGACTTACCTCTCTCTACTGTGTCGAGAGCGAGCATTAGACCACTTAAATGCTTCCTCGAGGACGACCATACAATGCGTATGGAAGGGGAATACGACGTCGTTGTCATTGGATGGAACGTAACTAGAGATCTTAGCGGGAACGCCAGTCTTGAACTTCTTGGTGCTAGTCCTACCAGTCATAGTAGGGGTTTTCGCCGATGGAGGGCTGGTTTGGATCTAGCGTGCATGTTTAGTTGGATCCCTCTTGTGTCAAGGGTAGGTGTTTAGGCTGGCTTACCATCGCCTTGCTCAACGTATATCAACCCCTAACCAAATATCGAATAATCAGAATCATATCCACTCAACAACACCAACACAAAGTACTGGAATCCAAAACTCACAGCATCATCATAATTAGCTCGCCCCGATATAAAAGTCCTAGCCAGTTCGAAAATAAGATCAGCCTCACTCTCTCCCTTGTGTCAACTCCATAACCAAAATCGCAATTACCAACCTCCCGATCCCCTCCTCGTCCCCCTCACCCTTCATCGCCATCCCCAGAACCCTCACATCCTCAACCCACTCAACCCTCTCAGAAGTAGCAACGTCCGGATCATAACTCCTCCTCTCGTCCTGCTCCCAAACCTCTCCATCCAATCCATCCTGATTATCACCATCTTGATCAGATCCAGATTCAAGCTCCGAGTCGGACGCGAACGAATCAAAACTATGGCCCTCCTCTATAGCTCGTAGCTTTTTGCAGATTCGACGTCGGCGCCGGGTTAGGTGGCCGCGGGAGGTGGAGCCAATGTCACAGGGGACGAGAGGGCCGCTGCAGAGGAGGCAGTAGCAGTCGAATTCACCCATTTTTGGTGAATTGAAAGTATTTTTATCAAGATTGTAGAATTCGGTGTGTTAGCAAGTGAGAAAAGATAGTAATAGAAAATGAGTGTGAGTAACCGGTCGAGGAGGGGATCATGGTGGGTGGTTCAAGCTCGTATTCAGGATCTAACCGAATTTAGTGGTGGTGCTTGGCTAGGGATCGTCGACAGTTTAAGAGATCGGGGGGAAATCCCATGTATATCCGCTAGAACGTGTGAGATGGTGCCAAACTGTATGGCTGTGAGGCTGTTCGACCACGGCCTACATGTGATCCGTTTCATATAATATGTAATCTACAGTGTGAATAGCAAAGCTTTAAATCAAAGTAGACCATATTATGACCGAAGGCCTGCATAAATAAACAAGCCCCCCAATCCAACAATAGCTTTTCAATACACCCAAAAATTATCAAGATCTAATCAAACAATACCTCGTGTGTGGGTGATTGATCCTGTGAAACCACAAACCGCAGAAAAAGCAACCAGATCCAACGCCGCCATGCTCGCTAAATACAATCCAAACTCCCAAGAATCACAGGGAGGTTGAAAGCAACCATCTAGATTGACTCCATGCCAACACCAGAAACGAAATAAAAGGAATAGCCTCGCAATCGCAATTGCAGTCGCAGTCACGGTCGCAGTGACCCAAAGACCAAAGTCTAGAAAAAGCAAGACCGCAATGCAAGCATATATCCCCATAATGAGCTGAGATTCTTACTCTAGGCTCAACCGGACGATCTTCTCCATATGAGGAATCGTCCCGCCAGTACTGTCAATGGCAAAGCTGACCGGAGACGGTGGTGGAGCCGGAGGCATACCGTCGACCAGACCATGGGAAAGCTTGGTGGGTTTAGATGTAGCAGAGGTAGTCATGGCACGGGGGATGCTTTGCGAGTATGAGGTAAAGGTGTTGGCGGTGGTGGGTGGAGCGAAAGAGTGAGTGCGAGTGGCCATTGCGAAAAAGAGGTATATAATATATAGAGAATTTGTGTGTGGATGTTTTGAAGAAGTTGGTGGTTTTCTTGAGCCCAGATGAACGGAGGAGTTGGGAGGAGCTCGATTCTTTTGTATGCAAGCTCTTTCGGAGATGGGTTTAGTGAGGAAAGTTGGACCTCGGCACGATGGGGTAAGCTTTGAGTTGTGGTTGAAGGGGGTTCGGCCGAGCTTGGATTATGTCTCGTGTCTTGTGTTTTGGGAGGATGTCAGCTATGAATATAGAATTAGCATCTGATCGGAGAAACTCGTGTTCTTCTTGTTCTTTTTCGTGGTGGGTTAGGGTGTGTATCCGGGACTGCCCGAGGGAGAGGATTCGGGGGATCGGAGGTTGTGGCGAGATGGGATGATGTAACGACGATCATCACGGTTAAAAGGAAGGACTCACATGAAGATGCGGTGTGTTGTGGAAATGGTGTAATCGGAGTGTAGGAGAGGAAGATGGTGGGAGAATGATGAAGTCAATTTAGTATGGGGATAAACGGTGATTATTCGTTGTTGGTGAGATAAGACCGAGTTGGTCGTGTGGAAGTGAGATAACAAGGAGCTTCCGTATTTGATTTATGGCGTAGTTGTGAGTTGAAAGATTGTCTTCTTTGAGAGAAATAGGTCTGAAGTTTGATAGCGAGCTGGCAGGACGGTTGAAGAAAGATGAGAAATATCAGCGGAGATTGTTGGGGAATCTGGGGGAAGATATAACCAGCCAACCCTCCTTGAATCAATCGGATAATAGTTCTCTCCCCATAAAAGCCAAAAAAAAGAAATACACAAAAAAGAAAAGCAAACGGGGAAACAAAAAGAATTCCCGTGTGGAGTCAGCCCAAAGCCTCCTGGGGAAAGCCGCAGGAAGTACGGAGTACCCGCTACACAGGACCAAGTACTCCTGGAGCAGAGTAGTTTACTACTCCGTGCTCTCCCCCCGTGTGTCCTATTATCGCCCATCTCTTTCCAAGTTCGAGTGACTACAGTACTGACTATTGACTCAATTCTCCGTCAAAGAAAAAAAAAATAAGCACCAGCAACTTGCCTCTTCAAGGCCTAGCCAACACACAAGCACCCACTCCCTCGCCGAACACCCCCCGGATCCAAGATCGACCCGCCAAGACAGCCCCATCGCCTCATTCTCATTCTCGTCGCCCAAACGGGCCCAATAATCAGACGGCGATTGAGTCCAGGCATGCCCAAACAAAGCAGATAACCACCCTTACTATGATAGTCAAAAGGCCAACAAATCTCACCGACTACACAACGAATAGCAAACATACACACCGTATAATCAAAGCAAACCCGCGCCCAACAACGGAGTGTACAGATAGATGTACAAGGTACATCCCCGATACTGACGCGTTCCCCATCATTTCGTGTTGGGGAAAGTAAATCAAAACTAAAATAAAAAGGGCCTGGGCATGCCCAAACGAGACCAAGACTTTACAGTTCTCCGTACAGGGGAAAAAAAAAAAAAAAAAAAAAAACAGGGCGGCTCCGCCTGCCAGGGATGGAAATCCCCCGGGGGAATCGCGCTCGAGAGGATCAGGTCTTCTCCGGAACCCCGAAAATGAGGGTGGGTAAACAAGTGAGGCACGGCTAGTGGCTTGAATGGGGGCCCTTTGGGCTTCTAGGGAGAGGCAGGAGGGCTTCGAGGGGGGTTACGCTTAGCCACTCTGCTCCGGGGAAGCGGGCTAGAAAGGCCGGTGTGGGTATTGGATTTGGATTTTGGGGGTTTCGGGTCGTGTGGGGGGCTTACTTTCGATGGATTATGGAATGGAAGGGTAAGAAGCGGCGGAATGTCGGCTTTTGATCCCCGCCCCACTGATTTACAGCTGCACAGTGTTGTCGTACATACAGTACTCCGTACTTGGACATAATCTATTAGAATTGTGTGCTTATAACTCCTAACTTATGTAGATAAGAAGGTTGATAAATTCCAAGCTAGTGTACCCCGTACAGGTTTGAGATTTCCCCGTCATGAGGCAGGGTAGTTACACTAGCTAGACACTCGAAGCGTTAGTGCGAGTTGCTATCTCGGTTAGTCCGTCGTAGCTCAAAGCTAAGGTTGTTTCGAATAAATTACTGGGGACCTTGAGAAGGAGGCGAATCCTTCTAGGGGCCTTCCATAGGGGGAAACCTCGGTCCACGAGGGCGATCCTCCGGAACCTGACGGTTGCATTGAAATGGGCCCATGGACCGGATTGTCGGGGCAGACGTATCGAGGCAAGGGAGTTACGGTATCATATTATGATTATGAATGATCTCGGATAGATGGTTTATACATGTCTCACGAGAATTTAAATTACATAGGGCATAGTGATGGACAGTAAGATGACCGGCGGAAAATTTACCGAAGATACGGTCCAAATTCAATCGGAGCTCTGATTTACAGTATCACGAACAGCTCGGCACGTACGCTTCACGTTAACTCGGTAATTGAAAGAGTTCCGTTCAGGGAATCCTTCTCTCGGGCTAAGTCTTTCCGAGGCAGACTGCCGATATCTCCCCAGCCAACGCCTCCAAGGTGGAGCCGAGCGGAGCTCACGCCAGGGGCAAGCCTTTCCATCGGTTGATTATTGCACCACCATTTGCCATTCCCCAATTGACCAATTACAAAGTCCACCGTCCTCATTATCCGGGGAAGTTGTGGATTGCGTTATCACTGGCTCGCTAATCGATGTTTCTCTCTTTCTCCATACGGACCACCGAGAGCTCCAACTGTACATCCGGGATAAATAGTTGGTAGACAATTCATATTTCAGCCGGTGGGTCGAGACGCGGTTGATCTGTCTTGTCCACCTGCCGGAATGATACCCGTACGGTCCGCTGTCCACGAGCATTCAATAGTAGCGGTGTTACGGATCGACAGTACGGAGTACACTATGCAGCGAATTGAATTTGGTGGTCAAGTTTTGCTGTAGTTCTGGAATCGGGTGGATCGAGTCCATCCTCGGATTGATCGGTGTTTTTGGGGTGGGACATCACCTCGGAAACAAGCTTTGCTGTCATGTAAGGTGTCTAGCGATATTCTTCTATTCAAGGTGTTTGTTTGGTATCGCATTAGATTCGTTCCTCGGCTGTAAGTCACCAATTCTTTCGTGCAGATTGCTGTCACTTGGCGAGGAGAAATCAACAGCTACAATAAGGGTCAATCTTCAATTCCAAGCCATTATCCCCTCCACGGTTGAGGATGATCAATCTATACAGTTCGCCTCGACTATTCCAATAACCCGTCTACATACATGGTACTCTCCGCAATACTCAAATCGCAATCACCACTGGCACCCTAGCCCCGTACTCCGTACTTTAAACTTCACGGAGAATATATCCGAACCTCCCCATTCCTTCTATTCTCTATTCTCCACTCAACTCACCTAAACCCCAGCCTAGTCCAGTCCAGGGAAGGCATATTTCCTGGGGAACACGGGGCAATCCCTCCTAAAGAAACTGACAATCCACTACTGTACTTGTATCAAGGGGAGAATGTCTCGCTCCTAGCCTCCTGTCGCAGAATTCCATATCTGCAGGATGGACCAGGATTTCCAGGATCCCGGGACTCCATGATTGCGTCACGCATTCCGTGGAAGGGTTCCCCCCGGGCCCCCCTGGATCCTCGAATAAGGAGCATCTGGGGTACGCGTCTGAACTTTCAGGTATGAGATAGGGATGGATAGGATGGGGATAGGCATCATTTCTGCGATAGTTTATTTCCAAATTCAAAGGAAGAGTCCAAGCTGGAAGGAGGCCTACTATTACGACTGTATTCATTCATGCTGCAGATAGCGAGGAGATAGTTTAGCGAGGATGCATGCGCAAAAAGTGGTGGACAGGTAACCATTCTTCACCGCCAGATAAGAATATTCGCTTACTCCAAGATCGAAGTACCTAGACAGCCTGCAGATGTACCGTTGTTACGAGCACAACCTGCTTAAATTAGCCCTTGTACTCAGTACTTGAAGTGATGCGTTGTCATGTTTGGCCTGAGTCCATGACTCATGATAGGGTGTGTATGCAGTCAGTGCCAGTGTCTGTATTCCCCCGATAAGGACCGAGCTGGATAGATAGATTGTAATCTAGATAGCGGCCCAGGAGGTGATTTCACTAGTCACTAACAACTTTCTCGGCTGCCGCTGCTTCTGTGAGGTCGCTCAGGCTCGGGCTCAGTGAGTAAATGTCAGCACAGGCTCGGCCTCGCTGATCATGTCAGATAAGTCATGTGATAAATAACTGGAGTTCAGTGATCGCTCCATGAACAATCTGGACCGCTCAGTGATCACTTAGTGCCTTGCTCACATGATTTCACGTGTAATTAGCGTTTTGTTTCTTAATCGAACTTACTATAGAAACTATGGTACGCGATAATCAACCACATACGACCATAGGGTGTGGAGAATAGGGCTTCCCGTCCGCTCAGCCGTACTTAAGCCACATATAGTATGCGGTTAATTCTCAAAGTGCCCTGAGCCTTAAAATGGCGTCCGGCTTTATCCTAGGGTGAGTGTGGGTGATTTGGGTGAGAAGTCTGGAGACTAGGGTGATAGAGGTGAGAACGGGGTGAGAGCGGGTGAGAATTCTCACCCAGGATCACCCAGGATCACCTACATACCCACTTTAACTTAGAGACTAGCCTATAAATATGAGTTCTGGGTGGCTTCCTAGCCTTCTATTCTTATTTCTTAAAGTTTAGCCGTTTTAAGGAAGATGTTGCTAAAAGACTTCCAAAACGAACTCGAGGAAAGAACTGTACGTGCTGCGTTACGTGGCTTCACCCTTAAGTATCAAAATAAACGAGAATAAGAAAATAACACTGTCTGCCTTAAATAGCTCGCTCTAGCTACTCTTAAGAAGTATAAAGACACAGAAAAAAATTAGGCCCTATAAGTACTGCTATTGATAACTATAGGTCGTGGCCCTAATTTCTATAGATAGAGACTTTCCCGGAACGAAGCGATTAATACTAATTTTTCTAAGAA